TGTATGTGTGTGTGTGTGAGAGAGAGAGAGAAAATAATTATTATTTTTTTAATTAAAATTAATTATATATTATAATAATAATTATTATTTATTAATTAAAAATTAAATTATTAAGAGAGAGAACAGAGTAGAGTTGAGACTAAATGCGTATCGATAAATTTGAGCGTGAAAAAGAAATATCCGGACCAGTATCGCGAAACAGCGCTAGATATCGCTTTTAACACCGGTACGGCAATTTAAAAATCGATCGGTCGGTGGCAAATTCCTGGCCAGTGGAACCAGTGACAAAAAATGTACTACCTTTTTTTACTGCGTTAAAGAGAAGATAAATATAGATTTTGTTCGAGAATTTATTTTATTGAATATATTTAAAATAATATATTACAAAAATATTAATGATATTTAGATAATTTTGAGAAATTAATTATGATAATCAATTTAATTGAGTATAAGTAAAATATGTATGTAGTTCAGAAAGGGATCTGCGGCGGAAGGACCAATGTTACGGGCGAGAATTAAGGGGCTCAGTTCATTAGGGTGAGTTAATGTATCAGGACTGTGGGCACTCACCTTTATTCCCGTTCTGGACTCGTACCTGTTGATTTTTTGCTTGAACAAAACACTTGAGGATAGCGCGCGCTTGGAGGTGTACACTGTGTACTCGGCCGATCTTGTCTCTCTCTCGTCACGCTGCGTATTCGACTACGGCTACGTACCCACTAAGGTTTTTCGGGTAAAGGATGGGAGGAAGGGATAGAATCCAACAGTGTTCCATTTAAAAAAATTTCGCGATCCACTCACACTTTTTTGAGCCACCCTTTAGAAGTTCAAATATTTTCCTCAAATACATCCTAATACATACTTTATGTCTGGACTACAAAATTCATTTTTTTATAAAAAAAATTATATATAATCCTATAATAAAAAACGCAAGTTTTTTATTATAGGAGCTGCAGATGCCCGACGCACTATTGCCGGACCCTGTAGAATCAAGGTTATTACATTGTTGGTGATAAATTAAAAATATTAGTATTATGAACATTTTATTCCACCCGACTCTAGTTCGACATATTCTCAACGAATTGTGATCCTAAACCGACCAATCAAATGTAAAGTTTCAGGCATCCGCGTCCGCTTCTCGCAAAAAACAAAAATTTTGTTTTTTATGAAGCATCGCGCTGAACATCTAGGTGCGTGGCGAAGTGCGAGGCTCCAGTATGTTTTGACGCATAAATTTGTACATGTTTGATTCAGCATCGCCGGATGGCGCATCGCGTCGAGATGAAATGCCCCGCACTATGTTTGTACGATAGTCGCCATGCATCCTACGCGCACTTACTCGCCGTTTTAAAACAGTGCGCGTAGGATGCATCGCGGCTACCATCCTGGCGAGCAGCACGGCCAGCATCTTGGCGAGCATCGCATCGAGATGCCTCAGTATGTTTGTGCCATTAGAAGTCCCACCTTACAAATTTGATGGTGGTAGTTTTAATACTGTTGCGGACCGGTGTGGACTCGACCTAACCTAACAATATGGCCCGCCCTCGGATGACCTTAGCATCGCATTAAAGAATAGACACCGCAATGCTTCATTCGAAGATTCGAGAAGGATCGAGTCCCACTGGAATGGAGTAGTACCATAGACTTAAAATAAAATATAGACTGAGCATCTCATTCATAAATAGCTGGAACATGCGGTCAGACAATATCTTGTTACTGTTGTGTTATTGTTTTAGGTTATAACGAGTGCGACACGAGCGATGGATAGGTTGTCTCTGTCGTAACGGTCGTTCCCTGACGACTCTGCCGAGAAACACAACACTGTCTTTCGTTTCTCAAGTATACCTGAACTCTCCGTCTCATAGCCGGGTAATTTTTTTATTTTAATGAAGCTATAATTAATTTAAAAATATATCGTATTTAAACTTTTTTATATTTTATTAAGATTTAGGACAGGTTTTTTAAATAAAAGTTTAGAAAAAACTTCTTAGAGTCCAAAAAGGATAAAAATAATAAAATACACGTTATAGAAGAAATTTTATAATCGAAATTATGTAATTTTTGAAATTAATAATAAATTATTAATTTTAGTCAAACATTTACAACCCCTAATATTAATCAAAACAGGATTTATTCCACAGATATAATAGAATCGGCGACAGGGAGAGAAAAAAAATGATTGTTGTAATTTTTTTCTGGTTAAGTGATGTCTTATGTAAATTAGAGAAAACATAAATCTGTTTCATTAAAGCAAGGAAGATGATAGGAAGTGGATAAAATGAAAACTAAATTTATTTAACTCGGTACTGTCTTTATTATACCGGGTGCGTCCCAAAAGTGGCTCATCCCCCATAATTTTTTTATATTTTCAAATAAAAAAACAAGATTTAGCATGTTAGTATATGACATAAATTAGGATCGATTGACGCATTCAATTGTTTTTGGTCACTTCCTGTTTCACCGAAAATGACTATAACTTTTAATTTTTAAACGGCACCCTCGGTATATTTCTACTTTATTCGATAGAAAATGACACTCTGAATAGAATGACATATCATATGTCAACTTTTGACATTTTCGCATATGGTTTAATTGTAATTGTAACACGCGGTTCATAACGACAATTTGACTCGAAATACCAAGTGTGTGGTATCAATATATTCATAAAAAAATGCTTTTTCCAAATATGCTAATGAGTCACCCTTGTTTCATTTGAAAAAATTGACATATGTATGATTAAAAATACGATTTGTACATCTTTTAACCGGCCTAGACAAGACACGAAACCTATTAGACAATCAAAACTATTTTTCCAAGGCTCCTTGATTAAAACTTAGTGTTTTTAATAACACCATGGCACCCTGGATTGAAATTTAAAATAGGATATGTTTTTAAGCGACAATGTCAAAAGTTGACATATGATATGTCATTCTATTCAGAGTGTCATTTTTTATCGAATAAAGTAGCAATATACCGACGGTGTCTTTAAAAATCAAAAGATGTAATCATTTCGGTGAAACAGGAAGAGACCAAAAACAATTGAATACGTCAATAAATTCTAATTTATGTCATATACCTACTAACATACAAATCTGTTTTTTTTATCTGAAAAAATAAAAAAGTTATAGGGGGTGAGCCACTTTTGAGACGACCCGGTATATTAAAAAATATTGTTTCATAATGTAATATCATTTTAAAATTCTTGTATGTTATTTTAGATTCTGAAGATAATTTTAGAATAAACCGGAATATATTTTTAATAAAAACATTATTAATTATTAACAGGGTTATAATTATGATTTTGTTACAATGTAAGTAAGTAAATAATGTAATGTAAGAGAAAAAATTCAGATTTTACATTTTACTAAAAACTAAAATATTATCTAAATAAGCCCCTTTCTACAACAACGCCACTGACTCCCAATGGATAAATTGAGAGTTGCCTACCGGTCAAAAGTCGTTTCAAGACTTAAATGGATTATTTAAGTCAAATTTCTTGCAAATTTGGCACTGGCGAACCATATTTTATATTTTTTGAACAGAAAAAGTCAATAAAATAAACACTTAAGGACTACAAGCTAAGAAAATGCGTTAATACAGCCGGGGAGATAGCGGCAACAAAGCTTTACCGCACACGTGCGACACGTACTACAAGGTAATAAATGAATGAATAGGCTCCCTCGCCTCTAATCGGTGTTGTCATATTGTAAAGAACTTATCCTTATTAAACAGTATCCCACTTATAATTTAGTAGTATAAGGACTATTTAATACATCTATGGAATATTAAAACCTACTTTATTAAACTGTAGTATTAATATCTCAATATATGGGTATAACAAGAAAAAAAATATTGATAATATTAAAGACGTGACAACATAGGCTGGATGAGGAAGGCTCGGTCGACTGTACCCAGAAGTAAACATGTGTACAAAAAAGGTTGTTTGTCCGCGTTGAGATGTAAATAGTGTAGTCTATATTTTATTTTAAGTCTATGAGTAGTACATACGAGAACATTCGAAAACCTTCTCTATGCACCTAACGATCTATGGCCTATTCTAGATTTCTTTTGCTGTAGGTATAAAAGCCGGCGGCTGTGGCCCAGAGAGGGCAGTTATAAATATACCAGTGCAGTTGACGCGCTAAAATTCAAAATAAATTCTTAGTTATAAATCGTTTGTAAATAGTTCTATAAGTCTTTTATCGTTATTGTTTTTGTTAATTAGTGTTAAATAAATAGTGTTTAAATAAATTGTGACTTTCTATCCACACGGAACCGACGAAAAACGTAACAATACTATATCTTTTTTGAAATTATTTATCTAAGTAAATACAGTTTTGATTTATGAATATAAAAATTTTGGCTGCATATTATATTAAGGCTATATCTGCGCTGCGGACTAACTTTGCACCCTTTTAACTTTTTCATTATACTTGTTTGGTTTCTTTACATTTTTTGTTATTTTTTGCGTAAGTAAAATTTAAAATATACATGCTATTAAGTTGTCTCAATTTTTTTTATTTAACATTTTTTATAATTCCTAAAACAAACGAAATAATGAACTTTATCATTGACTCTTACCCAGGTAGATTATATATTAATATATTTTCAATGTAAAGACATGAAAAAGAGATCTATATAACGAAGCATACTTAAAAGCGTATTAAACAACCTTTTCCTCTTGGAGGGAGAGATAACAAGGATCCTGTTGCTATGGAAAATCGGGCTTGTGGGGAGATTTAATGGATCCAAACAGTAAAAAACTTTTAATTCGGGTTATAGCTTTTCCGGTAAAGGTTTACGAGTATTATTCTTTTGGGAATATGAAAATATAACGAAAGATTTTTATGACATCTGTTTATTGCTTGGAAAATGGTCTGCGAATTTTAGAAAGAACAAAATCAAAATAATACAGTATGTTTTATTTTATATTCATATTTTGATGTATTAAGATATTTATCCAGCTTTTTGGGAGGTTAATGTATTTTTTGTTGTTTCAGATTTAGTCATGTAATGTTAAGAGCGAAACTACTCGAATGGATATAAAAATTAAAATCCGGTAAGTAAATAATATTTAAGTTATCAATTCAACCTTTGAGAAATTAGTATAGACGAATAGAAGACCAGCCTACTAGTAACATAGCAAGTTGCCGGACGAATTTACGTTTACCCGTTTTGCGTTCGTACTCGAGAGTCACTGTCGGCTAGTCGGCTGGTCAGGCAGTACGCAGTTGCAGTTGTGCTTGGACGGCTCGGTCATGACAGACTAGGAATACGACTCGAGGAGTGCCGAGTATTTATTATTTTCATTTTAAGTGTTTACCTTCACTTAAGGTAACATTTAAAATGAAAATACTTAAATATTTATTATTTGAGTGTGTTTACAAGCCAAAACTAAAAATAAATAAATTCTCTAAAACCAAAAAAAAACTAAAATATGACTCTAAATAAAAAAAGTTATAACAAGTGTTCAAAAAGACCATCTTCTTGTACTAGACAGAAGCCTAGGCGGTCGTAAAATCCCCGTCTGACATTGGCTAACTTATTAGGGCTAAGGTAAACTAGCCAATTAATGACCGCTTAAGCAGATACTCCAACTTTATTTCAGTACTGTTTTTTTCTGGAACTGACTAAAATTCAACATATATTTCTTTAGGGTACTTTGAAGTATTGTCTTTCATAAAATCATGCAATTTTGTTATAATTTTGTATTATAACTTAAATATTAACGGATATTCGGAAAAAAGCAGGTTTAACCAATTATTGACCAGTGTAAAGTTGAAGATATCTAATTAGTGACCATACGCATATCCAATTATTGACCGGCCACATTAAATTGATTATGTGAATTATACTTACTTATTGCTATACTTTTGGATATAAAACAACAAAATTTTAATTAAAACTTTATTTTTTAAATACCTACATAAATTAATTAATAATCACAAACATATCATACCACTAACTTAGAAAAATATATTTATACCTAAGTACCTACTTTTGTTCAGTACTTTTTTCTAAACAAATACGAAAAATCACATAAACTTATTTTTTAAGGTAATTTTATTATGTAATTATGCAGGTACGTCCATAAATTCTTTGGTTTAACTTACTAAATGTAAGTATATATTATAAATTGCACATTAACTATTTATACCTAGGAACTAAGTAGTAAGGAAACTACTTAGTTCGTTGGTAATTTATAATAAATATTAACATTAATCGATAATAATTCATTAATACATATAACAACTAATTAATACAACACTTATTAATGATAAACCATTTGTTTAAATCTGTATGGCACATTTATAAAATTAGCAACAAGTTAAGTACCTTTCGTAAAAGAAATGTTAAATTTTGTCTTTATTCGTATGAACAAAATGTATTATTTCAAAAAATACTTTATCAAAAATTGTTACTACATGTTTCTCAACAAAGTCTAACAAATTTGAATTAATAATTATACTAAACTGTCTATATCCTTGACACTATAAATACCTCTCTTGTTTATCATTTTTGGTTCTGTTATATTCGTTATAGTGTCTGCTTCTTTATACCATAATATATCTTCGGGATATGGCCATTTCCAGTTTAACCCACTTGGTGTCATTGCTGTCACTTTATATTCAATTTCAGAATTTTGATTTCTAGTATCTAAAATCTTGCCAGGAAAATATTTTTGTTCATACCTGACAATACAGAAATTGCCGACAAATTTTTTTTTATTAATTTTTTTTCTCAAATTATTGGATAAGGGTGTTTCAGTTTGGTTTATCTCAGGTACTGCGTTCTTATTCAATTTACTTTCTTTTTTATTTAAACGTACCTGTTTTCGAATATTTTTTTCTTCTACTTGTTTACTCCTAATCTCTTCTTTTCTTTTATGATATTGTTGCCATTCTTCCGATGATGCGACTGCTGGTACTTTTTCTTTTTTTCTTTTTTTCGTTTCTATATTTTCTTTTGAATCAGGCCAAAAAAGTGCCCTTTTAAAGGGAGTGGGAATAGAGTCGGGAGTTGTCGTAGAAATTTTATTAGGTTGCTCTCCAATTGTGGTATTTTCTATTGAACTTAATGCAGATACGTTGTTTTGTTTTTGGACATTTGGGGATGGTGTTGACTCTAATTGTAATATATTAGTATTAGAATTATTTGGTTCTAGAATTTCTATAACAATACTGTTTTCTTCTTTTGGTGGAACAGCAACACGATTGGGTTCTTTTATTGAATCAGTATCTAAAATTTCATATTCTTGATTTATATCAAATGGGATAACCAAACTGTCTCCGTCTAAAATAATTCTATCAATATTAGACATATCTGCATTCTCTTCCAGCACTTCTGTAATAATATTATCTATGCTCTTTGATGGTGAAGAATTTGCAATTGGTAAAATGTCTTGGTTTATTTCCATATCGATTTCCTCATTTTGCTGACTTTCGTCATGTTCATTATATTTATTTTTCTCTGCCTTTAAAAACTTCCAGTATTCATATAATCCCGTGTCTCTGGTATCACCCTTCCAAACGGCTCCAGTATTTTTAAATATTTCAATTTTATCGGGAAGATCCATTTCCATCCTTTTTAAAACAGTATTTATAGTGTAGCAATTGTTATATTGTTTTTTAATAGTACTTTGGCAAGCTTCAGAAATTTCTATGTCATTTTTGAAATATTTGGAAAAATTTATATTATCCACTTCAAAAGGAAATAATCCTGTAGCTCTAAATCCATTTGAAATTATTTTTGTTTTATTTTCCATTTCGTCTATCGATTTTTGAAGCAGCGGCGCAAAATCTTCTCTGGATATTTTAGCTCCATTGTTCTCTAAACGCCATGTGTGTACGACCGTTTTCCAAGACATTTTTAATGGCCTGAAAAATGCAACATCTAGTGGCTGAATTATATGAGTCGCATTAGGATACAGAGCGACCAAAATAATTTTCTTTTCAGAACAGAATTTACTAAGAGTTAGAGTAAGATGAGAAGAGTGTCCATCAACAAATAAAAGCACGGGAAACGAAATATTATTTTCCGTCAGCCATTTGTAGAATACATTGGCAATGTATTCAAAAAAGGTTTCACCTGTCATCCAACCATTGTCACTACGACCAAGACCCCAATGTTTAGGTGCTTGATTACTTATTTTTGGTGGTATACGTTTGTATGGAAAAACCACCATCGGTGGTGGCAAATCTCCAGCGGCATTGCACATAATGAGCGTTGTCAAACATTCCTTGTCATCATTACTAGAAAAAGAATAAACTGCTTTTTCCCCCTTTCTAGCCAGCACACGATTTCCCTTCGGGCTCAAAAAAAAAGCGGACTCGTCACAGTTGTACACCCGTTTTGGGTCCTCTAACACATTCTCCAAATTATTATTTTTTAAATATGTATATACTTCGGCATGCCAATTCCTTAAACTGTTTTCATTTAGTGTCGATCTAGGCTTGGATAAATTTTGGGCTACTCTAACTGCTATTTCGGGATGTCTCTTCTCAAAAAGCTGATGCCATTTTATTGTTGGACGACCGCTTGGAAACGGATTTTCTTTCTTCATATATTTAAAAAGTAATTCTATGCTATCTGCCAATTGATTCCGGGTAGCAGGAAAGCCTCTATTACTGACGAAGATTAACCATTTTACAAGCATATCTTCTTCATCACTTGACAGTAATGTGGGTGGCCCTGGTTTGCCTGTCATGGGAATTTTGCCAGAATTTTTATATATCAGTGTGGTTTTTGGTATATTGAAAGCTTTACTGGCATTTCCATAGGACATGCCGTTTCCCACGGCAAGTAGAGCGTTATCAAGCATCTGCCTGGTGTATAATTTCCGTTTTTTATTTTGTGGGGGCATTCTGAAAAAATGTAAAGTACTTAATACTTAGTACCGCATTTTTTCCTTAAAGGAATTACAAATGCTAAATTGCTAGTAAAATGGCGTATATTTTATATAAAATTAAAAATACGTGTTTAACGTCCAATTAACAAGTAACTAACAAGGCTATTTAATCCAGACACTTAGTTAAGAGTGAACAAAAATTCTGTTTTACCGCAAAACTAAATAATGACCTATATAGTGCCCTATTTGTGACCACACTATTAATATTAAAAATAATACTATACTTTAACATATTACGCTGAAAATCATTTGGTCAAAATAAAATGTAATGAATCGTTTTATTAGTTTCATGGTTTTGAGGTAAATAATTTGCTATTAAAATACTGAAAATAGCAATCTCCATGCAGTTGTGTCTGTGAATCAATTATTGACCGACCGGTCAATAGGTAAAATCCTTTAGATCCAATTACTGACCAAAGGAAAGCTAAATAATGACCGATGCTTAATCCTAATAGTGACCGCATATTTGTTTTAAAAATACTAATTATGGTCAAAATATTATCATGGTCATTATTTGGCCTACGTGTAGTTTAGTGTATTATTAGTTTATTTTTCAATAAAAAAAATGTCTCAGTATTAAAATAGATAAAATAAAAGGAATTATAATTAGTAATGCAATAAACCAATTATTGACCGGTCGGTCAATAATTAGATTTTCTGTGGTTAAACGCACCCAAATATTGACCGATAATTATTTTACATAAATGTTATAAAATATTTAATTTAAAGTATGCAATTGTCAAAAATATACCTTTATTAATGTCTAGAAACTCAAATATTGAAGTAATATGCTTACCTTAATTGTATTCGCCTCGAACAAACAAAGCACGCTGTTAACACCTTCGACACCTAATAACGACTAAACGGGCTGATCTCCCGCGCCCCTACGCTTTAAATAAATTGGCGGCTGATTTAAAAAAGTAAATATCAAAATTATGTGAAAAACATTAACCTTAAATATGTCTAAATGAAATGGAGGCGTTGAATTGTTTATAAATGTTTTAAAATTCTTATTTAAGAAGTATATAGACAAAATCGGTCAACAATTGGCGATCGGTCACTAATTGGCTACTTACCTTAATAGTTTGGAAAGCATCTCGTATTATTATTTGAAGCTCATCCAGATTATTAGCCCTATTATGACCATACACTTTGAATTTTACATAACCCCACAAAAATAAGTCATTGGGAGAAAGATCTGGTGATCTAGCGGGCCACAAAATAGTTCCATATCCACTAATTAAACGATTGGGAAAAGTATTGTTCAAATATTCTTGAACAATACGGGCATTGTGGGCAGGACAACCACCTCAGCAATTAGATTACTTGAAAAGGGGGGATTTTGATCCGCGGTAGCACAAATGAACACTGGCTTTAACTCCTGTTCTTCATTAATCAACACATCAGGCTTTTTGTGTTTTTGTGGGAACACGCACCCATGTGTTTCAAAATTATTAATAACTCTTGATATAGTAGATAAAGATGGAATTGGCCTGTTTACAAAAGTTTGTGGAAAAATTGTTTGTATATCCCGAAAAGACCTATTTTAGAAATACCATTTTACAATTTGAATTTTCTCACGAACTTCGTAAACATCCATTAGTTTACTTAAAAAATAAATTTTACACGAGAACTGTCGCGAGAATCTATGTATTTTGGCTATTAAAACACGAATAAATACAAATTATGAAACATTCTTTATGAAAAGCAGTTCTGTTCATATTTCATCAAAACTTGGAAATCTAAACGAAAAAAAAATACACACTATAGTTTGTATCCATTGTTCCGTTAAAATGAATAAAAGTAGAACTAGCTTTTACTCTTAACTGAAAGTATAAATATACTCACGTGTTCTCACGTTCATTATACCGTTGATTGAAAGAATTGGGAAGATACACAACCCAATGGGCGAATTCGAGACAAGGCTGATTTCATTTCTCCTTACCTCTCAAGTGCTGTACGGTGGTGACACCAATCGATCTGCCGTCAACGCATAAAACACTTATTTTCTCTAATTCGGCCAGCGAAAGCATATTGAAGACTGTGATTAAAATGTGTAATATCTGTAATACGTTTGACGAAAATTTCTTTAGATGAAAATTAATCATATAATATTATATTAAATTGTTTAATGACAGAAAATCTGTATTATTAACGTACTGTACCCAAAATCCGTAAATCTGCGGATTAATGAGTAATTTTGGCAACACTGTCTCCGGCAACCACTCACTCTCTGGACTGAAAGGATAGTGATGTTAATATTTCAGAAATTTTTGATTGTTGCAGGAAATTTCCGAAACTTTCGGAAACTTTCGGAAATTTATGAAATTTTGGGAAATTTTACAATTTTACAAATTTTTTGTTGATACAATAAAGGAATAAATTATGTAGATAGACATTTGATAACAACATGTAAGTGGAAAAAGAAAACAATAAACATAATATTAGTTGTTATATTTTTAATAAACAATACTTAACTCATAAAAGTCATAAACATAACACATAACAAAATCAATCATCAAAATTTGCCATAAAGAATTCTTTTGAGTTGCTAGATAATTTGAAAAATATTGAAGTTCCACATAATGCAACACTCGTTTCTTTCGATGTCAAAAGCCTGTTCACTTCTATCCCAACCCATGAATTGTCCTCTATTATTTATGAACTAATTGATAAATCTAATCTTAATATAATAGTAAAATCAGATTTAATAACAATTATTGAAACTTGTTTAGAACAAAACTATTTTCAGTATAACAATGAAATATTTAAACAGAAAGATGGGTTACCGATGGGTTCCCCAATTTCACTGTTATTCGCAGAAATATTTATGGCAGATTTTGAAAAGAAGCTATTTAAAAACAAGAGTAGTTTAATATGAAAAATAAATTATTGGGCAAGATATGTAGATGACATTTTTTGTATTTGGTCAGGCACCGAGAGAAATTTAAACAGTTTTTTAACATTATTAAATTCAATTAACCCGAGAATACAATTTACTATTGAAAAGGTATTAATACCATCAATTTTCTTGATGTTACAATTATAAAACAGTCTAATAGATTACAATTTGATATTTACAGAAAACCCACTACCACAGACACTGTAATACATAGTCAATCACACCAATCCTGGCAAATCAAAATGTCACCCTTTCATAGTTTAATTCATAGATTAGTAATGTTTCCACTGAGCCCAGAGAATTTTAAAAAAGAGTTAAATATTATTAAACAAATCGCCATCAACAATGGATATAAGTGTTCCCTTATTGATAATATGCTAAAGAAAAACAAAAGAAAATATTAATGAAAAATTTTTATTCCGCTAATTCTAAAGACAATAACAATTATCGACTTTTTAAACTACATTCCTAATTTAACTAACAAAATATCAAATAATCTCAATAAAATAGGATGTAAAACTATTAACGTAAATAATAGAAATTTAGGTCAAATTTTATTAAATAATAAAGACAAAACTAATGTCAAAAATAAGTCGGGTGTATATAGGGTGGATTGCAATGATTGTGATGCCGTGTACATAGGCCAAACAGGTAGAAATTTAGATATAAGGATTAAAGAACATGTAAAGTCTATTAATAATCTCCAGCATAGTTCTGGTCTTGCAACTCATTGTATAGTAAATAATCATAAAATTAATGAAAACTCAATTAAGTTACTACAGAGAGAAACAAAAAGTAGACGCTTAAATTACATTGAACAGTTAGAAATACTAAAATCTGTTAAAAACGAAAATAATGTTAACGACCAACAAGGATTTCTAAACACATTTTTTATTACCCCTATTGTAAACTCTCTGAACCCACCCCCATAGCAAATATATATATAGTTACAGTGTAGTTAGACGATTAGTTCTTAAAAAAGGCCTAACAAGCCGAAACATATATGTAGAGTTAAAGTTACTCTTATTAAAAGTTTTTTAAACATCTAAAAGCGTGCTTTATTAAAATACTAATACATAACAAAAATCATTTGGTAACATTTGTACTTTGTACTTAAACTATGAACTATGACTATGAAGTTAAAAACAAACAAAAAAGCACGAAATATAAATTTAAAAAACGTAAAACACAAATAACTGAATTATTCTATTCCGGAATACTTTCAGGCCCCGAGCTGGTCCCATCTTCATAGGGTATTATAGTAGTAGTAGTACTGTCTTTGTCAGTTTCTATTTCCAAATCAGATATATTTGATGTATCATCTGGTTCTGATTGTGAAGGATGGCCCTCTACCTCTACAGGTTCTAGTGGTTCTGGAGGAGTTTCATGTTGTTTCATCATGCTCCATAATCACTTTTTGTTTTTGTAATAATAATTTATTGTCATGAGCTATGAACATTATTTTGCCGGCTGTTTGTTCAATTAAGCGATTCTTTTTTTTAGTATGGATAAAACTGTAAGTACTGAAACTTCTCTCAGTGGCTGCAGATGACGTTGGTAAGGACAGCAGAGCAACAGCTAAATATTTCAACTAAGTATTTTTACACACTGCTTGTCACCAACTTAGACAGTCTACATTTTTAACTGACATCCAAACGTAGTCGAGAGCCCATAAACCCGGTTTGGCGCAATAATTTGTTACACCTGTAAAAATGGCTTCTTTGTTATTGACAAACTGAGGATGTTTGTTGGTGAAATTGTTGATAAATTCCATAGCGGCGTATATGTGTTCTTCATTGTTAAGGTGCTCTCCCAGGAAACAGAGGGGTCCAAGAGATTCGCGGCAAAATGCATTGGTTTAAGAGCCATACGTTCTCTATTTTGTAAGGCGGAGAAGCATTCTTTTTCTTCTGATTTAAGAATAGGCATACTTGATACACTTTCGTTAAATTTTTGATCAATGTCTTGAATTTCGAAAAGAAATTTCTTGCAAAATTCGGATTTTTGCGAATATTCGAGATTTTGGGATCGAATATTTATGAAATTTCTGAAATTTCCTGCAAAATTCGAATGGAAATATTCGCTACCAACATCACTATGAAAGGAGAACTGCGGTACAGTATTCTTTATCCGCTGCGCTGTAAACGATCAGCGCGCAGCGGCGCAGAGCTAAACTAAATCTCGGAATCCTTGGATAGGCTGACGATAACGCCAGCTACATCTCGGACAAGTTTTGTGCCACGAAATCGCCCATAAGGTTGCGCATCTTCTTATTTCTTCAATCGACGATTATACGTTTAGTAACACCGAATCAGTTAAGCTGCTTCAGCAAAAGACTCTCTGACTATCCAACTCACTAGAACGGCTTGACTCAAGAATCTAGAGGGAATATAAATATGCCAATATAATTTTTCTTTTTTATTATTTCACACTTAGTTTTAATGGTGCAGGCTCTAACAGACTCGGGCGTAAATGAACTTGCCGCAACGAGACAGATTAATCATACTTACGGCGCTTATTCTAAATTGCAGGAGCCTCAGTTAACACGAGATGCAACAAAGGGGCTCTTCCTCAACCGCAATGGAAAGCGACGAAACAGAACAAAGCAATATTCCTCCTTCCAGAGGAAGGGTAAGTGCCATATTTTTAAATACCTATTATCTATAATAGGTGTTTATAGTATAATTATGTATAACATATTACGCTTGTTTTCATATAAGCCGTCACAACATCAACAACCGTTGAAGCCGGTTCACATCACAAGCCGTCACTTTTAGAACACTGTTATGTGTTTTGCACTGTTTTTATACCGTGTATAACTGTTATTCCTAAATAACAGTTGAAAGTAATAGATCGTTAATAATAACACGTTTCTACGTAAATATAACAAATAAAACTATTAATCCAACGAATTATTCTCATCTCCTTTGAAAAAGACGTGAACTGTTATTACTAAATAACAGTTAAAATAACAGATTGTTTAATCTGTTTCTGCGTCAAATAAAACGTTTAATCCAACGAATTATTGCCATCGCTTTTTAAAATGAAATAAACTGTTATTCCTAAATAACAGTTAAAAATAACATCATCACTTTTTAAAATTAAATAAACTGTTACTAAGCTACGTAAATATGTCAAATAAAACCTTTACTTCATCGAATTAGTGTCATTACTTTTTAATAAGTATCGAACTGTTATTCTTAAATAACAGTTGAAAATAACAGATCGTTAAATAATAAGCCGTTTTTACGTAAATATTATATTATACTGTTTATTATGAAGAACAGTTTTAAAAATCCAGATTGTTAATAACACCGTGTTTGACAAATTTGAACACTGGTGGGAAAAAGTTTTTATTAAGTTACACAGAAATTAATCTACATTTCAGCAAACTAGAAATAAACTAATTAAAATTGAAATATGTATTTTATACACAAAAGAAGTATTCAAAATATTTATATCGTTCAAAAGTAAAGATGATGATCTAATTGCCAACATACATAAAAATTTACTTAAACAGTTGTTTAATATATAAGAGTATCATAGATAAAATCTTTAAATTCATAGCCATGTAATTACTTTTAATACGTTTTTTTTTTTGTGAATTAGCACATTAAAGTTGAGTCAACTTTAAGGAGAATAACATTTCTGCGAATTTTAACTTTTTTCTTTATGTTTAACATGATAATTATGCAAAATATGCAGTTTGGTATTTAGATTTTCCTAAAATTAAATTTTGTTTGTTTATTTTAACACCATAATTCTAACGTAAAGCGCATCTTTTAGAGATTAATGATGAACGAATAAAGCGGGAAAATCCCTAATGTTTTTATTTTTCTGGATTCCTAAATTCCTTTCAATAGGTTAAATCAAGCCTAGCGTAGAAGAGAAGGGTATTTTTGCCTCTGTAATATTTCAAAATGTCTCTCAAAGAAAAATGAGCTTGGGTAACTTAGGTTGAGAAGTAAATAAAGATGGCAATAGACGATTGCCGAGAAAATTGATGTGTGCTATTAATTTTGATTCGTACCTACGTTTTTTTAGTTATTTGTTAATAGTAGTTTATTTTATATATAATTTTTTTAAGCTGAATATACTTGTAGTACTAAAGTTGAATTTTGATTACTATCTTTCAAAAAATACCACAAGGGCTCTCTTGAAAATAATGTCCATATTCTAAACAACAGAATGTATATGTTATTTGATTTTTTTATTTATTGAACATTGTGTTAATCCCAATATAATGTTAATATCATAAGACCATATATTTTTGTGAATGCTATTACACCATAGAGTTTTATAAAACTATATTTTCTATATCTGATAAATAACTAGATATATTATGATCTTACTACGTTTCTTTAATTAGAGCCGTCAGTCAAGTGTATGAACTGTTGTATGATGTTCTGGACACTCATGTACCTCTATACAAATCGCATAAAAAACGATATCCACCGTGGTACAATGCCGAAATTATTAAAAATATTAAATTAAAAGCTGTCTATCATAACAAGTATAAGAAATATAAGAGCGATTTATTTTTGCAGAGGTTTAGAGAGTTGAGAGCACTTATTAAAAGCTTAATCAAAGCTAACTACGAAAATTATATTCGCGGAGTCGAAACTTCTGTGTCTTCAAATCCACAACGTTTTTGGGGCTTTATCCACGCGAGGAATAAATCTTCTAGAATACCCGGTCAAATGAAATTTAATGATGAGGTACATGATTGTCCAAACGAAATAGTGAATAGTTTTGCTAAATTTTTTCACAGTGTTTTCACCCCGCCCGATAAAGACAATGTTAAATGGAATCGGTGTGTGGTTAGCAATGAGTTTAATATCACATTTCTTAATATCACGGAAGAGGAAATACTCATAGCTGCAAAAAAATTAAAAAATAAGATGACATCGGGTCCTGACAAAATTCCAGCATTTCTGGTGAAGGATTGCATTGGCATTTTAGCAACCCCACTAGGTAAAATATTTAATTTAGCTGTCAATTCAAACACCTTTCCAGAGGTGTGGAAACAGGCAAGAGTATGTCCAATTCTGAAATCAGGAAATCAAAATAACGTGGAAAACTATCGTCCCATCTCAATCTTATCAAATTTTGCTAAACTGCTAGAAATAATTATGTATAATCGAATATATAGTTCAGTACGTGGTGTAATATCTAGTAACCAACATGGTTTTATGACGGGTAGATCTACCGTTACGAATTTAGCATGTTTTACGCAATATGTATCTGAATGCATTGATAGTAATGGGCAGGTGGATGTTATATATACGGACCTTGCCAAAGCATTTGACAAACTAAATCATTCTATATTACTGGACAAACTTAACTCTATGGGTTTTACTAGACCATCTTTATTATTTTTAAAATCTTATCTCTCTCAAAGAAAGCAATTTGTCTCATATAGTGGCTACTGTTCGACTGACTATATTGCTACGTCAGGAGTTCCTCAGGGATCAAACCTGGGCCCACTTTTATTTCTATTATTTATTAATGATCTAGATAATATCCTTAAGTGTTTTAGACTATTTTTTGCTGATGATTTAAAAATTTTCTTGCGTATATCGGATAGAGCGGATTGTAGTTTCTTGCAGACACAGATTGATCGCGTTGTAGAATGGTGTGATGGGAATAAACTAAAGTTAAATGTTGATAAGTGTAAGATAGTGACATTTTCCAGAAAAAAGAATGTACAGTATTTTAATTATAATATAAATAATACCGAATTGGAACGACTTAGTGTAATCAAAGATCTTGGAGTTTATTTTGATTCGTCTTTTTCATTTAGTGATCATATTATAACCAAGGTACGAGAGGCTCTTAAATTTTACGGCTTTATAGTTCGCAACTGTGCGTCTTTTACTGACTCAAATGCATTTTTAATATTATACTCAGCATACATTCGATCTAAACTGGAATATGCTTCATTGATTTGGTACCCTGTGTATACCTGTTACAGGCAGCTTATTGAGAGAGTACAGAGAAGATTTTTGAAATTTGTTTCATATAAAGTTAGCGGAGTGTATCCTGAAAGGGGTATTCCCTACATTAATTTAATTAGCACCTTTCAGTTGCAAACTCTCGATTTGAGAAGAAAGTGCGCATCAATAGTCTTCCTGTATAAGCTGTTGCATAATGCGATAGATAGTTCTGAGCTTGTTGCACATATAGATTATTTGGTTCCTTCTATATCGACTAGATCGCATAGAACATTTTATTGTGCTAGAGCCAGAACTAATTTGTTGCTTAAATCTCCAGTTTATGTCATGTGTAGCAATTATAACGTAATATCTGATAAATGTGATATTTTCTTTGATAACTTAAGTCACATAATTGCTTTAGCTAATAATATGCTGCACAGCGGTGTGATTTGAGTTTTTTTTTGTTTATATAGTGTTTTGTTTTTATAGTTTGTTTATATTTGGATTTTTTTTTGTTTTGTTCATCTGTACTTGGTATCTGATTTTTGTATCATTCACCTTTCAGTGCTTTTTGCTTCTGTTAATTTTTAAGATTTAATTTACATTGATATGTTTTTTTTCATTTATTTTTTATTTAGAGGTTAGTGTATTACTAATTTATAGATATATATTGTAAAATTGTCCTATAATTGGTTTGTAACTGTTGGGCAATAAAGATATTATTATTATTATTATTATTATTATTATTATTATTTAATATAAAGATGGATAAAACTTACTGTTACTTACAAATAACAAGATGTTATTTATAACTAACGTGTTTCTGTTATTTATTGATTTTATTGTTCAATCTTCAAAATATCAAATTTAAATTGTGTATTAATGAAAAAATCCAACAATAACAATAAGAATCACAAAAACTGTTTATCTTGTTCGAAAGTCTGATAAAATAGCATAAACTGCAAAATAACAGGTATGAAAATAACTGTTATTTTTTCGAAGTAACAACTGTTACGAGGTGGTAGAGTTACGAGGCACGGCAATTCCGATATTACATTATAAGCATTTTTTGTTAGCGCACTGTTTCTTTTTAACAGGTACTCAACTGTTATTTCTGAATAACAGATCGATAAATATTAACCCGTTTCTACGTAAATATAACAAATATAACTTTTAGTAGGTATCGTTTTATTGTCGTTACTTTTTAATAAGTATCGAACTGCTATTCTTAAATAACAGATTATTAATCAATAACCCATTTTTACTCGTCTATAACAAATAGGTATTACCTTTAGTTCATCGAATTATTGTCATTACTTTTTAAAAGTAACAAACTTATTTTTAAATAGCAGTTAAGAATAACAGTTCGTTAAATAATAACCCGTTTCTACGTATGTAAATAGAACAAATAAAACTTTTAATTCAACGAATTATTGTCATTATTTCTTAAAAAATAATTAACAGTTATTTCCAAATAACAGGTAAAACTAACAGATCGTTAAATAATATCCCGTTTCTACATAAATATATCAAATAAAACCTTTAGCACAAGGAAATTATTGTCATTACTTTTTAAAACGTATGGAACTGTTATTTCTAAATAACAGTTGAAAATAACAGATTCTTAAAAATATTCGTATGTCTTAGTTTAACTTGATTTTTTTCAAATTTAGCCCACGTCGAAATTAAAAGTTCTGGGTCGAAGTCATGCGATGCGCGAAGAACAATCTCCTCCCAGAGAACCGGCCGCAGGTGTAACAGTTTGCGCAGACCAAAGGGTTTCTGGGGGCCATCTGCAATCGCCGCCCGCGCTGGTGTTGAGTCCGTCACCCGCTGAGGAAGAGGAAACGGGCCTGGAACGAGTAGCAGGTGATACTGGTTCACCTGGTGCTGTAATGGGGTCCACCGCTAGTCCGAGGTAAGAGTACTAGAGATGGGTAGATCCGATATTTTGAAAGAGCCATGGACCTACATCCAGGTTCCAGTTCTGCCGGATCTATGTCATTCTAACCTTTGATTTTAATTTAATTAAATTTTGTTTTGCATGAAGCAATCAGCGTTCAAAAGTTTTGTAGTGCGTTAGGGAAATCTGATGTTTGCGTTTTGCCAAATTCTTTTCACCTGATCTTCGCTGTTCTATATATTTAGTAGAGGTACCTTAAAGTTCAAATTTATGACTATGGGGCATAGCATTACAAACTTTACGCCCTATAGTTCAGGAAGCAAGAGGTCTAGGACAAATTTGTGTCTAGCATCTTTAGTTTCATAAAAAAGTAGCACAGTAATGTAAAAATGTCCGAATATACCAAAATAAATATACAGAATTTTACAGTGTCACTTCAGTGAAACTGAAGTCTGATAAAACTGCTTTAGTTCCCAAGATATTTTATATTATAAATGTATATTTATATTGCAGTAAGATTGATCACTATTTAGATTAATGTAGAATTGTAGTTTATCCTTTGTTATTTTTTGTTGACACTCCTTCATTCTATGTACTATGTACAGGGTGGGTCAAATTCGACGCTTTTAAATGGAAACACCCTTTTCTATATGAGATAGACAAAAAACTAATATCGGTGTCTGGAGCTCAATTTTTGTCAAAAACTTGATGGTGAAAACCGCATACCGATATCTGTTACCGTTTCGGAGTTACCGGGTGTTTTTCAAAAATATGCATTTTTAACAAATCGCTGTAACTTTTTTGCTATGAAAAATTTTGTATTTTTATGAAAACATTTCCAAGTCACCTTTTTACGTAGAATTTAATAGTTTAAATATAATTTTTTTAAAATTAATAATTTAAGAATTATCAACAAAAAAATTGATTTTTTATATGGGACACCCTGTATATTTTTAATTTGTTCAAAAGAATTTAAAATTACCTTTCCAAAAATATAACACACTTGATATTTTGCTCGATTCCTCTTCGAGATATAGAGTATATAAAAATTCGCCCGCTTTAAATAAGTAGGCTTTGAACGGCAGCGGCTGTAATACAAAAAAATTCTAGCTGTGAGCATCAATTAAAACGAAAATAATATTTGCTATGAGAGATGCAGAATTTTATAACAATTTAAAATATATTTAGCCAACATCAACACATTTAAACTATATCTAATAACAATAAAAATAAGTAGCAAACCAAGACATGAGATTTTGCTACAGGTGTTCGACATATCGACCGTCTTCTGTTATGGACAGACGGGGCAGTTTTTGAACATTTCTCGCGGAATTCATTAACTCAGAAAGATACCCTCTCATAACTGCTAAGTATTTTTAATTCTTGTCTAGACTATACGGAAGAATAAGGAACCTTTATTCTTCCGCAAATATATACATAGGATTAAATTCATGGGTACTAAGTCAGGCGGCCGCGACGGCCAACGGCTGGGAGCTTGGTTAGCTATCCAATTATTCTTGAAATTGGCTGCAAACATTTGCTGATAACTTCAGCGTTCAGAGGCGGTGCGTCGTTTTGCTGGAAAAAATATGTTTTCGAGTTCCAATAAGATCAATAAGGGGTCCAAAGCCTACTAGTTAAAAGTGGCGAACTTTTAAAAATTCTGTATTTCGAAGGGAATTACAACAAAATATCAAGTGTACTATATTTTTGGTAAGGTAATTTTTAATTCTTTTCAGCTAATTAAAAATATAGAGGGTGTCCCAAATAAAAATTCAATTTTTCTATTGATAACTCTTAAATTATTAATTTTTAAAAAATTATACTTAAACCATTAAATTCTACGTAAAAAGGTGCTTTGGAAATATTTTCATAGAAATACAAAATTTTCCATAGCAAAAAAGTTACAGCGGTTTGTTGAAAATGCACATTTTTGAAAAACACCCCGTAACTCCGAAACGGTAACAGATATTGATGTGCGGTTTTCACCATCATGTTTTTGATGAAAATTGAGGTCCAGATACCGATATTAGTTTTTGTCTATCTCCTATAGAAAAGGGTGTTTCCATTTAAAAGCGTCGAATTTGACCCACCCTGTACAGGATTTTTACAGGGTCACTTCAGTGAAACTAAAGACTGATAAAACAGCTTCAGTTTCCAAAATATTTTATATTCAAAATGTGTCTTTATATTGCAGGTGCTCTCCTCATTGTGAAAATAGTGGATCGTGTGAACGATTGCATCCGGTCGAGTCAGATTTACCTTCTAGTCCGAAATGCCATAGTAGTAAGAGTAATTCTCCTAACGAAAGATCTCCCAATCATAAATCTAGTCAGAACAATGCAAAAGGGTAAGTATGTAATTCTGTTTTAGTCTTTGAATAAGAAGACTAAGGAAGCAGCATAATGCTATCCATGTATTCATGCATGGTGGGCGGAAAAAGCACTCTAGGGTGGGGATCCTTGACAGTTCTGTTTGACGATTCATTTGACACATTTGAATTTGATTTGAAATTTTGTGGATTTGTCAGTCTTTAAGGAGCTTATTTTATGTTATTTATTACTTATTCTACTACTGATAGTTGTATAAAGGTAGTAAATCTAGATGGAAATTGTGGCAGAACTTAAATTAACAGTGACACTATCGCGATTTATCAAAAATGACTCTAAAATAGTTGGTTGTGTAGCGTGCGGTAGATCTCGGCAAAAATTGAGTGAAATAATGGAACAACTTTTCGCTAGTAAGTGACTATATAATATACATACGTGTAGTAAACCGATAATTTATGAAATTCACTTAAATTAACTAATTATATATTTTTTCTTGCATTTTTGCTTTTATTTACTACTTGTCAAGGATTAGATGTCAAAGAATTTAGATACGTCAATTTGACTTACCTGCTTCAGTAGCGTATCGGATGTTTATGGTTATAAATAATTATTATAACTTATCTATTTTTATTAGAATTTTATATTTTTATAACAATTTTAATAAATACCAACGTAGTTCACAACGTAAAATAAAAACAAAATTATTGAATCTACCTATAACGTCTACTCTACATCATAGTTTTACATTTTTTAAGTAAAATTAGAACGGCACTGATAAACCGGAAATTAAGTCGGCCATATTTGGAACCCATCGCGGTGGACCTAAAATTTTTGATATGCTCCTTCCTTAGTCTTCTTATTCAAAAGTTTTAGTACCAACAAGTGCTATAATAGGGGGATCGCTGCCTCTCCCTCGATATGGCAACCACTTTATTTTAATGTACAATTTATTTTTTTAACGTCTTAGCAAGAAATACTGTGACTGTCAGAACCAGAACTGTATCAAATGTCTGAAGGAAAAAGGCGGGAACAACAACAATCATAACAGTACAAATAACAACAACACCGGCAACGCCAACAATATGTTGTTTGTGAACAAATCTCGGGGCAAGTTAAAACAGCAGAGCTCGTCACAGACCAGTTTGAGCTTCGAAAGTTCCACGGGCAATAGCTCGTGCCTGTCAAGAGGTAAGAAACATTTATATTGACATTTAAATAAACACTTTTTTGAGATATTGTGAGCAAAGCATATAAGCACAGAATATCTAGCTACGCAACAGAAAAATACTCGAAATGAAAGAGCTAAAATTGCACAAATAAAATACTAGATGGCGCGACAATATCATAATCAGAATATAATTGGAAATTTTCAATTTTCGGTTTTGGATCGACTGCATGTCGACGGCCTTGAAGCTCGGCTAAATATGCACAGTTGCCAGATTCAAAAAGACTTGAATTGGCATCCCATTCTTTTTATTATGTATAATGCAGTATGTGTTTCTTTCTATTCTTCTTTTCTTGTCAGATACACTTATATTAATTATTCCTTTGGCTATTAAAATAGTTTTAAGTATATTATTACAAAAACATATACATTTTTTATATACACTATCTTATAATGTTAACTAAGAAAATACCTTTAATTACCTTTTAAAATTAATAATATACAGGGCGATTGATAGTGATATTTATTAATGCTGAACGTTAGTAATGAAATATAAGTTTAATAATAATGGAAATAATTTATTAAAATGCAGTACAAAAAATGTTAACTGACTAAAAAATACTATAATAACAAATTTCTTCCGTTTGCTACGTTATTTATATAGACCTAGGTAAATTTTAAAAAGTGACACAGGTACAATTAATAATATATTCGTTCGGCATAAAAGTTGCTGTCACGACATCGAACAATAAATTAAAATTCGTAAAATAAATTAAAATTATTAATTAAACAAATCTTTATAAAGAAACGCAAGTATACCAAATTTGGGCCCAATCGAACTCGAGGAAATAATATCATAATAGTGTACTATATTATGGTACCACTCGATATGCTTTAAGGTACCATAATATTGCAATGTCACCGAAGATCCGTAGTATACCAAATTTAAGAACAATCGAACGCCATGAAATGGTATCGTAATATGGTACTATATTAAGGTACCACTTTATATACATCATAGTTCAATCATATTACAATGTAACCGAAGATACGTAGTATACCAAGTTTAAGCCCAATCGAACGCCATGTACGTAATATAGTACTATATTATGGTACCAGTTGATATGCTTCATGGTACCATAATAATGCAATGTCATCAAAAATACGCAAGTATATATCAAATACGAGCTCAATCGAACGCCAGGAAATGGTATTGAAATATGGTACTATATTCAGGTACCACTTTATATGCATCATAGTACCATCATATTACAATGTAACCGAAGATACGTAGTATAACAAGTTTAAGTCCAATCGAACGCCAGGAAATGGTATCGTAATATGGTACTATCTTATGGTACCTCTTATTATGCTCCATGGTACCATAATATTACAATATCACCCAAGATACGTTGTATCCCATATTTAAGCCCAATCGAACGCCATGTACATAATATGGTACTATATTATGGTACCAGATGATATGCATCATAGTACCATCATATTACAATATCACCGAAAATACGTAGTATACCAAGTTTAATCCCTATTGCCGATATGTACCTAATATTGCTATGTCATCAAATATGGTACTATAGAAGGTACCACTTTATATGCTCCATGGTACCATGATATTACAATGTCACTGAAGATATAGTATACCAAGTTTAAACCCAATCGAACGCCATGTATCGTAATATAGTACTATATTATGGTATCACTTGATATGCTTCTGAAAAAAACGGCGTCCAGTGGCTGGAAAAGGACTATCGATGACATTTCCCATATAAATTTACATATAAAATGACAGCGATATTCATTTCATAGCTATCGCTAACGCCGTTTTTTCCCGATTATACGATATGAACTTGGTATGAACACAATCGAACGTCAGGAAGTGGTATCATAATAGTAGAACAATACTTATTATATTGTCGCCGAATTACAATGAAAATTCAGGATTCTTTCAAAGCCTGTCTCCTTTTGCTACCTACAATTTTATACATGTAACGAGGCTTCTGTTGCGTAGCTAGATATTCTGTGATATAAGTAATACCTCTATAAGGCTAATACCATACAGTCGATTTTTTTTATTTTCTTAATAGCTGCCAGTTGGCCTTAAAGAAGGTTGTAATGTATTTTTTCTACGACTAGCCTCAAAAACTCAGTTTGACACACGGAAAACTCGATCTGAAATTGGCTAACTGGATCTGAAATTGGCTAATCTGGAATTTGCAAACTGTCGTGTGCTAAGGATTTAGCGCACAACATTTTTAAAAAAACCTCCAATGTTTAGCTGAAACCTGGCTGAAACGTCATAGAAAAAATAGCGTAAAAAACTCGTTCGAAAACTTCTTTGTACACTCGTTCGACTTGTGGCTCTTGCCTGTGGCTCGAGCCAACAAACTGTCGAACTCGTGTGCAAAACGTCCTTTTCGAAACTCGTTGTTTAATATACTATTTATATTGAGTAAAAATGATATCTTTTTTTAATCTTTCTATAATTAATTAGTGCTAATTTTTGACAAGTTTTATATAAATTTTTAGTAAATGCCGTCTAGAGATTGACCTCGCCAAAATTATCATCGATTGTGATTCCCCAGCCGTTTTTTTTCGATCGTACGGTATATCCTTATTCACTCATATCATTGTTTTTCTGTCGGGTACAAATAGAGGTTTACCGTTTTTCGGAATTCTTTAGTTGTACTTTTTTTATGATAATATTGGTTTTTATGGATTATTGATTCTGCAGAGAGCAGTTCAGACTGTTACACGGACACCACTGGTGTGAATTTGGAACAGTTCATTCCCGAAACGCTTAACAGGAACCCAAAGGACCGTGCTCTGATGCTACGGATCGAAGAAGAATTGATTCTTCTTGCTAACGATAAATTGTAAGTTTCAATATTTTAAATATACAGGGTGGGCCATTGAAAATTTACAATGGCTATAATTCTTAAACCAAAAAAGATATCAAAAAAATAAAAAATACCGTTTCTATGATATCGAAGGGGAATACATATGACGTATTTTTTGAACTACCCCGACCTACCCCTTAGGCGGCACCCCTACTCACCTGAAAATCTTAAATGGCAACACCCCACTTGTGGCGCCTTTTTGGAAAGCCCATGAAAAATGCTAAACGACTATCAAAACGTTTTTAGGGTGAAATTGAAAAACTACCCCTTACACGAAAAATTAGGTGGACATTAATAAAAAAAGTAATTTTTTCAGCATAAGTTACAATTTGGGACCCAGCTAAATGAGGCAAATGATGCATTTTTTAAACCACCCCCACCCACCCCTAGGTGCCATCCCCTCACTTCTAATCTCATCAAGGCCATTTTTAAATGTAGATAATAAAAAAAGGCAACACAAAGATGTTTTTACAGCCTAATTTTGCGATAACGCAAATTCTTCCTTATCATCTATTTTTTTACTTTCAACAGACAGGAATCTTAAACCGGCATATCTTTGCGTTTTTGCACTGTCTTCTATCGATTTTCAATCGTTTGCAAATTTGGTGGTATTTTAAACGTTTATTTGATTCGCTTATTTGAAAGAGAAATGGTTTATACTGTGGAAGAAAGAATTCAAATAGTTTTTCTTTATTGTACTGAAGGTATGTGTTATTTGAGAACGGCCCGTCTTTCAATGAGAGAAATCCGGACAAAAACGTAAGTCACGTTTATGTTATACATTTGAATGAAGAAATGCAGATGGAAGTTATTGGTCAGGTATCTGTCAATCCAGAAGCATCAACACGCCATTTGGCATCAATCACAGGTATACCTCGAACATCTGTCTCAGAAGAGTACAAAATGAAGATTCTGCAGGAACTTGGCGACGACGATCTAGATAGAAGGATTCAGTTCTGTGAACTAATGACGGAGGAAATTCGAAGGGAACTTACTACTAAAAATATTTGTGATGAGTGCTCATTTTTTTTTAAACGGAATTGTGAATAAGCAGAACTGCAGATACTGGAGCGATGAGAACTGCATATTGTTGTTGAAGGACACACCCAAACATCCCCAAAAGCTCAATGTTTGGTGCGGAATACTAGGCGATAAAATTATAGGTCCATTTTTCATCGACGGAAATTTGACTGGTGATGCTTATGTGGAAATGCTGAACAATTTGATAGAGCCAGCCATTGTAAATGAGGTTGAAAATCAAAGAGATTTGGAAGGAAATTTGACTCTTAATGAAGACCACTTTCAGCAAGATGGAGCCCATCCGCATTATTCTATTGTCACAAGGCGGTGGTTGGATAGATATTATCCAAGGCAATGGATTGGCAGAAGGGGTCCAATCGAGTGGCCGCCAAGGACACCTGATCTCACTCCTTTAGACTTTTTCTTGTGGGGTTACACTAAATCCATAGTCTACAAGACAAAACCAGGTTCGTTGCAAGAATTGCGGCAGAGGATAACTGAAGCATGTCGAAATATTCCGAGAGAGACTTTCCAAAAAGTGAGAGAAGAATTTGAAAATCGTTTGTATTTTTGTATGAAACAAAACGGCTGTCATTTTGAGCAATTGTTAAAATAAATTATCATTTTAAATTTCTTTCAAATTGTCAAACCTACATTTCTTATCACTACTTACCAGTAATTGTTGAAAGAAGACGACTTACCAATAATTGTTATAGAAGTTGAAATCTGTATGACCATCGTTTAGCAATTTCAATTAGCTTTCCAAAAGTGTCACAAGTGGGGTATCGCTATCTTGAGATTAGAAGTGAGTGGGTGGCACCTAGGGGTGGGTCGGGGTGGTTTGAAAAATACCTCATTTGCCTCATTAAGCTGGGTCCCAATTTGTAACTTATGCTGAAAAAATTTCTTTTTTCAAAACTTTTTTCATTCATGACCACCTAATTTTTCGTGTAAGGGGTAGTTTTTCAATTTCACCCTAAAAACTGTACGATCATCGTTTAGCATTTTTCATGGGCTTTCCAAAAAGGCGCCACAAGTGGGGTGTTGCCATTTAAGATTTTCAAGTGAGTAGGGGTGCCGCCTAAGGGGTAGGTCGGGGTAGTTCAAAAAATACGCCATATGTATTCCCCCTCGATATTATAGAAACGGTATTTTTTATTTTTTGGATATCTTTTTTGGTTTAAGAATTATATCGATTGTAAGTTTTCAGTGGCCAACCCTGTATATATGTATGTATGTACCAAATATTTATTTTTGTTGTTTGGGTTATTAAAAAAAACTTTAACTACTTTAAAAATAAACTTTTGAAAAAAATTAGGGATATTCTATACTCTTGAATCTTGGGTACTCTTACGTTTAACATGCCCAAAAACATTATATTTTTGATGTCCTTACAAGAATTTAATCATGTAAAACTGCTTTAATGCACTTTTGTTTAAGTGATTATTTGTACACGTTATGTGACTACTGAGTTGTGACTTCTCTGTACGTTTTATTTAATTTACAAAATGTTTATCTTAATTCGTAATTCGTAATTAAATCAACATAATAAACGTTAAAAATGTTAATAACGCAATATACTATGCGACAGATCCGCTAAAATTTGTCCAACACAACACAGTTTTATACACATTTTATAAAATATGATGATTATTTTCATAAATTATACTTGTATTCATTTAAAACTTCCCAATATGGCGGACTTCAGTATGGGAGACTTAAAAAACGAAAATCTCTAAACTGGAATCGACTGTACTTCAAATCGTTCAAATTGATAATCTGTGGTAAATCCAATTGAACTCTGACTGAATTCCCTAACGCCAACTTATTTTTCATTAAAAAAAAAATACCAATTTTCGTAACTAGGTCGGCCATATTGAGGAACTTTTAAAAGAATAGTACTATAATTATATTAGAGCGATAGCACTTGGACATGAGAATCGAATGGAGATTGGACATGGCATCGATTCCAAGATTCTTGTAAGGACTGCTCTATTAATGAAAAACACAATCAATTTGGCTTTTTATAAGATTATTATGACTTCATATATGACTCCATAGATGTAAATCCTTTACCAGCCTCTCTTTCCCGCTTAAAGTAATTAATAAACTTCGCGATGTTTGGCCTTTTCAATATCACTAAATCGGCGGGGCATTTTAGTTGTAAAATGAATTATGTTTCACAACGCAATCAATTTATAGTTTTGACATTGATCGATAGCGGTTTATTAAAATTATAATCTCAAATCAAATGACAATAACCAGAAACAATGTGCAGTAATTTACGAAATGCAGTAATGACACCACCAATCTCTTTCATCTAGTTGTCAAGTGAAAGAGAGAGTTCGACAATATATGACGTGACGTTAAACCAAAGACATTATAAAGATAGACCGAACATCTCATTCATAAATACTCGTTGGTAGTGTATCAAACATTCCAATGTGTCAAACAAGAACAGAAGAGACAGAGAAGTCTAAAATTTCCGTCCCCGGCAACTAGGCGCATTTGGATTGTTCTAATGGCCAGTGGCGTATCGTTTCTTGGAACGAATTTAATTATTAGTAAAGTAAAATTAAAGTAATTAGTAAAACTTTTACTCCATATTAATATACTGCATTAACACTTTTTCGTCAGATGAGTTTTGTTATAAGGTCTAATATAATAATATAATTAATATCCCACATATACTTATGTTGAAACGTTAGTAGGTAGTTTCCGAAAATCGCTCCAACCTCGATTTTCAATTTAAACTTTCAGTTACTTCTATATCAACTTTCAGTTACTTTTGAATATTTACAGGGTGACTCAAGTTTCTGAAACAGTTCTATATTAGTTTTGTTGTTGGTGACTTTTCTTTCAATTTTTTTTCAGAATATGGAGGCAATGGTAAAGCACATTTTAGACATTTTTGTAAACGTAGGTGGCCGGAACATATTTTCAAACTAAAGTTGTAGATTTGCCATAAAATTTCCATTCCAGAAATACCTAGGGTTGCCACCTGTCCTTTTTTGAAAAGGACAGTCCTTTTTTGGAATAACTTGTCCTTTTGACTTTTTTTGACTTAAAAAGTCATTTTTATTTACGTATTTTCCCTGAGAAAATTACCTACAGCAAACAAAAATATTCTCTTCGTCCAAATTTAATTAGAGATGTATTAAAACTTATAAATAAATGTTTCTTGTTTAGAATAGGCAACATTATTTAGAACTTTCCGTTTAATCTCAAATGATAGTTTAGGTTTTAGTTTTACTTTTTTTGATCTTAATAAGAACTTTTCAAAATTAGTAATTAGTAACGATTTAGTTAGTTCGCAATCGATAGCTTCCTGTGAAGTACTGTGTAATACTTGTTTAATCTTATATTATTAATAACTTCCTATACCCAAAATCAATATTTAATGAGAAAATTGTGTTTTTTTTTGAAAATATAAGACAAAATTTGACTTTCGGTCTTCTTCTTATATTATGATGGCTCTGATACGAGGCAATTACCTTTTAGTCTCTCAATAGAAGGCATTTATCATTAAAAGTATTAAATCTGTGTGCTACAGTAGGGGATTTCTGTCGCATAATAATGAATATTACGTTTATTTACAAACCCATTACTTTTAAAGGTAGCTTCATCAGACAATCAAATTTTAGTTAAATATCTCAATCTTCATGAACTGTATTAAGCATATGTATTGCGGTTTGAATCATCCTATATGTTGACAAAATATTTTGAAAATGTGCGTTACAATGGCCCCCATCTTATGTAAAAAATTGAAATAAAAATCACAAACCAAAAACGTAATAGGTAAAAAGCTTTTTTGGAGGCCTGGGTCACTCTGTATATAGGTATGTATAAAACTAGTAGCCTAAAAATTATTTACAGTGCGTCTCATTCTAAAAAAAAGGTAAACACACCTAACCTCTTCCTAGAGTTATTAGTACGGTGGTAAAAAATTGTCTAAACAAGGCCGAAGGGGCAGATATAATAAAGCAGTAAAATGTAAAAAAGGTCGGGTAAACACCTTTGTTTATTTATTGAGCAAAATTCCTTTAGAATATCGTATATAATGACCAAAATATGACGCAATTTTAAGAAAAAAAAGTCACTTTCTGGCTTATAATAAAGTTTCAAATGCAACGTTTATATTCAAATTTGTTATGATCTACAACAGTTAGGTAGTAATTGAGGTGAATTATAATTCAATTACCGGCTACTTCGTTCTTGTTTTAATAGTTCAAAATTCAACAAATATAATTAGAAATTATTTTAATTGTAAGGGGCTCCCTTGTGGGACGCCTATGTACAATTTCGGCGGAAATGTGTACCTACCTGTGAAAAGACAAATTCGGGTAATTTGAGCTTATTTTTCCACACACTTGACACTGTCGAACCATATTGAAAATTCGCAGATTCAAAAGTACGTTAAACAAAAACAAAAATTACTGAAAACACTGAAAAGTTCACTTCGGACTTAATTCCGACTTCAAACACACCGTAAGCTAAACGTAGTACGCTATAACGGACCAAGTGCCGTCGCGAGGGGTGGTGGGACGGACAGCTCATTTTCATTCTGGAAGACTAGCAGCGACGTTGCCAATAGTTCTAGACGTTTCAGCACATTTAACAGTAAACATGTCCTTTAATAGTAACGCATATATCCTCTGGTTAATAACCATATTATTACGCATACTTCTTTAAAAATAAACTATTAATTTAATTAAGAAATTGAGATTTATTGATATCCGGTGAAGGTTTTAAAATCACCTTTTCTGCAAATCAAACTAAGTAGATAGGCGCAAATTTGAGCATGTGGCAATGTCGCCTTCTCTATCTCAGTTGGTTTTTACAGTACGTAGTCAACCTCCGATTGTTTGATCGGGTTAAAATGCACAATGTGATATCTGTTCTTCCTAAATCTATGCGTTAAACGATGAACAAAAAATAACCATGATGGTCGAGAACCCACCTTTACTTGATCTAGTATTGCTTTTGTTAATCCAGAGTGTTAATCTATTTGCTTTTGTTAACAGCCAGACTCACTACAAGTTCCCCCCGATGTCGAGCTACCATCGCATGCTGGTTCATCGATGCGCAGCCTACTTCGGCATGGACCACAACATAGAGCAATCAGGCAAATGCGTTGTAGTAAACAAGACGAAAAACACCCGGATACCGGACGTGAAATTCAAGGAGCACATCAAGGAGATATTCAACGACGAACCTCCCAGAAGGTTAGCTTCGGGTTTTCGGCGGGATTTATTTTAAAAATTTACTACCATCTTAAGCCTTAGGTCTATCCTGAAACGCGACTCGAACAGCATAGAGGACTACTGCTTCAAGAGTCCGGAGAGAGGTTATAGTTTGGAGAGTCGCAGGAGCAAGAGTTTTGAGGAAAGGGAGGAGGAATACGAGAAAGCGAGGAGAAGGATATTTAGACAAGAGGTAACATAAACACACTCTGTATACAGTATGTCCCCGGATTGTCTTTACAAGAGGAAAAAAACTTTTTTATTATTGACATTTTGAGAAACATGCATTCTTCATTAAAATTTTTGTTTGGTTTGGTTCTAAACACACAAAACATCCCCCTTTAGAACTTCGTCTATTATGTTAAGAAATGAAAGTAAATAATAAAGCGCCTCTCGCATAATCTACATAACAATTATATCAATTACAGGATTACAAGCTTGTTTTCTAACATTTTTTAAATAAAACGAATTATAAAATTTCAATATATGTATATTTGTCGTAGGTATGAAAAAAGTAAAATATAAAATGGACAAACGCTTACTTACATTGCAATAAAACTTCCACTTTTAGTTTTGCAATCCAAATGCAATATTTCTATTTCACAAAAAAATATCCGACAACACTAAAATCACTGAAACTTCCGCGGCTGACAACGAAAACTGAAAAATATAACGGCACTTTTTGTTTTGGACCTGCATATCAACATTACGCTGTACTATTATGTGTTTGTTGTTGAAATAATATAAAATATCTAATTATAACTTGTAAATTTTAATATTTTAACATGATTTTAACTACTTTTGACAATAACTAACTTTTTGTTATCAAGATGACATTTTAGACAGCAACTGACATATATGTCATAATATTTGAATCTTAAATAATATGTATGTAATATATAATTTAAATTACTATAATGCAACTTTATACTAAGAAAACATTTATACATTCACAAAATACAACAAAGTCTAGTAATATAGTTTGAAAACAATGAATATTGAAATAAAATTGAAAAAGTTAAGCGCAACCCCTTGTGTCAAAATTAGATGATTAAATTTTCGCAATTTTTACACCATTTGATGACCGGTGGCGCCTCTAGTGTTTGTTCGGGCGGTTGGCCTTTTACTCCCGCTTATGGCCATTAAAGAAAAAGTTCTAAAGTGGGATGTTTTGTGTTCTAAAATGGTTAATCCCGTTTGTGCTTTTCCAAATATTCGTCATAAATCAAAAGGTGTTTCTATGGTAATATAACTTCGTTTTCATTCTTTGCTAGATGGTTATTGGTAGAATTTTAATTAACGTCATATTTTTTGTTGTTTTAAAATGTTAAAGAAGCACAAAATATGTTTAGTTCAATGATACGGGAAGGGTGATAAATTCATAATAACCATCTATCATAGATAAACGAAACAAGTTTAGATTGGAAGGTGCTCATAAGGACAATGTAATTACCATTTTGCGCTATTCTTACAACGGTCGCGATCCAAAGTTTTCGATAATTTCGGAGCGGTTCGGCTTTTTCCGGAATTATGTCACCAAATATTTTTTATTCAAATTTGTTATTATTTTCTTTTAACTTTATAAATAAAATATAGTACAAATTTAAACTAAACTCACAAGATATAGTAAACGCCACGAATGTTTGGGTGTGATTCATCAGTCGCTACCATGTGAACCTTTGAATAAGAAGACTAAGGAAGGAGCACAATGCTATCCATTATTCATGCATGGTGGGCGGAAAAGCCACCATAAAAGCTCTCTAGGGTGGGGATCCTTGACAGTTCTGTTTGACGATTCATTTGACACATTTGAATTTGATTTGAAATTTTGTGGATTTGTCAGTCTTTACGGAGCTTATTTTATGTTATTTATTATTTATTCTACTACTGATAGTTGTATAAAGGTAGTAAATCTAGATGGAAATTGTGGCAGAACTTAAATTAACAGTGACACTATCGCGATTTATCGAAAAAGACTCTAAAATAGTTGGTTGTGTAGCGTGCGGTAGATCTCGGTAAAAATTGAGTGAAATAATGGAACAACTTTTCGCTAGTAAGTGACTATATAATATACATACGTGTAATAAACCGATCATTTATGAAATTCACTTAAATTAACTAAATTATATATTTTTCTTGCATTTTAGCTTTTATTTATTACTTGTCAAAGATTAGATGTCAAAGAATTTAGATACGTTAATTTGACTTACCTGCTTCAGTAGCGTATCGGATGTTTGTGTTAATAAATACTTATTATAACTTATCTATTTTTATTAGAATTATATATTTTTATAACAATTTTAATAACTACCAACATTTATTCACAACGTAAAATAAAACAACAAATTATTGAGACTACCCCACGTCTACCCTACATCATCGTTTTACATTTTTTAAATAAAATTAGAACGACACTGATAAACCGGAATTTAAGTCGGCCATATTTGAGGCCCATCGCGGTGTACCTAAGATTTTTGATATGCTCCTTCCTTAGTCTTCTTATTCAAAGATGTGAACTAATCTGTTCAAGGTCACATAAAACTTAATTCCAGTGCCGTGGTGTTTCAAGTCTTATAATAATCAATATATAATCTGTTGTAATTTGTTGTTTTAACTGTAAAAGTCTTGTCAAAACATATATTTGGCTATAAATATAAACTGGAATGCCCCATTGGTCGCACTGCAAGCACACCAATGGACTGACGCACAAAGACGAATCAATCAAACAAACGCGATATAGTATCGTCTTTGTCAATCACGTTAACATTTTAGAATAAGTAGGAGGAGCGCAGGCAGATGATTAGACCGGGCCTTTAAAAACCTACGTCTGCGGTAAAAAAATACGTTTTTAGTGTAAAAATGATAGCGCGCGTGTCGATTCTAACTTCATCAAGCGATGAATCACTCCCAAACATTCGTGGCGTTTACTATAGCAATAATTACTTTGAAAATGGACGCTTTAAACACCTTTCGGTATTTTATCAATGAGGACGGTTTAAATTTTGAAAGATTTTATGATTTTTGAAGATTCTTACTTTGACAAAAGAAAATTCTTTCTGTTCTTGTTTGCGGTTGTTCTTAGCAAACGCTATAGCAGCGCCCTACAATGTATGCGCTTCAAAATAATTATAAATTTTGGCGGGCGGCCGAACATTCCAATCTAAATTTATTTCCTTTACCTGTAAGAATTATTTATAATGTTAATTTATAATGTAAGTTATAATTCCTATTATGCCATCTATCAAAGAATAGAAACGCCTTTTGATGTTTAGGACGTTTAGGACTCTAGGAAAAAATTCATGGTGACGTAGAAGCGACATTTAAGAACAAAAAATGCTTAAATAATTTTTTCTATGGCATACTTCTAACATACAAAATGCTTCTAATAGCATTCTTGATGTTATCTGTAGATGCACGATGGTTCCTCGGACGACTATCTGACAGATCGAACCTGTACTGTTAGAATAGGCAACGAAACATCTGACGCATTTACTGTCACTCAGGAGTTCCACAAGGGAGCAACATTTCGCCATTGCTGTTTATTCTTTTTGTGAATGATCTTCCGGAATGCATAATGCACTCCGAGTGTCTTTTGTTTGCGGACGATTTCAAGATTTACAAAAATGTTGCCTCCGAGAGTGACTGTATTGATCTTCAGAGTGATTTGACAAATGTTATGACTTGGTTTACAAACAATAAAATGTTTCTTAACATCGAAAAATGTTCATTTGTGAGCTTTACACGTAAATCAACCAGGATAAATTTTGAATATCGTATACATAGTGAAACTCTGACTGAAAGTAGGGCTATCAAAGATCTGGGTATAACGTTTGAATCTAACTTAAGGTTTAATCTACACTATCGAAACATGGTTAATAAAGCATATCAAATGCTGGGTTTTCTCATTAGAAACTCTAAGCATTTCAAACAAATTAGTACGTTGTCTAAACTGTACAATTGCTTAGTCAGGCCTCACTTAGAATATGCATCAATTATATGGACTCCTACAGCGGAATGCAATCGCGATCTGATTGAGAAAATCCAAAAAAATTTCTAAGATATCTATATTTTAAACAAAATGGTGTTTATCCAGTTTTCCCTCTGCTGGTATCATATAAAAACATGTTAAGCTCATTCAACTTCCAGGATCTACACGCCCGAAGAATCGTACAATGTTTAATAATATTATATAATATAATAAATAATTATTAACTCAATAATTCAGATCTAATAAATAATATCAAATTTCATGTCCCAAAAATCAGCCTACGTCGCACAACAAATTCAAATAAAACATTTAATATATATATACGGCAAGGCTAAACCTATGCAAAGTCCAGAGACTAGCATGTGTTTGCATCACAGGAGCCATGAGAACCTGTCCAACAGCAGCAATGGAGGTCATTCTAGATCTAACACCACTGCACATTGTCATTGGTAGATATGCCAATGCGACAATGATTAGAATGGTCACTAACGGAATTAGTACTGGGAGAATTGTCAGATCAGGGGCTTGGAACACCCTCAAAAAGGAAATACAACTCATGCAACTCCCAGTGGACGATATGCCAAGAACGTACAACTTTGACAAACATGTCAATGTAGTATTGAGCAATAAGAAGGATTGGAAGAGCGAAACGCTTGCCCAGCAGTTAAAAGATCATACCATAACTTGGTATACTGATGCTTCCAAAACCAATACGGGAACAGGGATCGGAGTGATGGGCCGAGAGCTAATTACTCCGAACCAATGGGCACTTACCCTAGTATCCTACAGGCAGAAATCTACGCTATCGAGAGATGCGTACAACTTATCTTAGATAGGAACTATCGGAAACAAGAAATAGCCATCTTATCTGATAGTCAAGCAGCGTTAAAGGCGATCAACTCAGTCTCAATCAATTCGAAATTGGTCAAAGAATACATAGAGAAGCTGAATAAATTAGGAAAGAAAACAAAGTCCTCCTACACTGGGTGCCTGCTCACCAAGGGATAGAAGGCAATGAAAAAGCAAATAATCTAGCTAGGAAAGGAGCGAACACTCCACTAACTGGACCAGAACCGTTCTGCTTTCCAAGTGGGAACCAACTCAAGGCGGAACTCAAGAACTTGGAAGATTCCATCCGCAACCTGGAATGGAAATCTTGTAATGGTCTAAGACACTCGAAGAAGTTTCTGAGGGCTTATGATCAAGAAAAATCACAGACCTTCCTGGGTCTGAGTAAGAACAATCTTCGGATTGTCACGGGGTTTTTAACAGGACACTGTCTCCTCAATGGACACCTCAGTAGATTGAAACTAAGAGGAAACGGCGAATGCAGATTCTGTGGGGAAGATGGGGAAACACCAGTACACCTCATCACTGAGTGCGCCGAGACGACAACCATTCGTGCCATGAATTTTGGTACGACTGATATTGGAGATGGAGAACTACCCTCTATAAAACCGTCCCAGATACTGGCTTTTGTCAAAGCCCTGGGACTGTATGATGAGTTATGATTCAAGAAAGGGGGACACAATGGATCTGTAAGGTCGAAGTGATTAACCCCCCTCCCACTCATTCTAAATCATAGACAAAGTAACAAAAGCAAGACTTTTCAAAGGATTGAGGAAGTCGAATTATTGTTTTTGCGCTGGCCAGTTGAGTCAGAAATCATCGCGCAGTCGCACTCGTCAAACTAACCCAAATAAAACGAAAAACGTTTTTGCCTTGAACCATCCGAACGAACTGTTGAATTCCTGATTTTGCGTTTTGTTTGGTTATTACTATTATTTTATTAGCGTACAAAACGAAAACAAATAATTTAATACATTTTACATTTATGAAGAACATAATAATTACTGTGATTTACATATTATTGTGATTACATCGCTAACGTAGACAAAACGAAGGTCCTACAAATTGACTGTAAGTTATAAGAATCTTTATCTTTTTAATCTTTTTATGATTTGAATTTTCGTGCTTTATATTTTATAATAGACTCGAAATGTTAATATTTTTGCAAATTCTTGTGAAAATGTGAAGTTTATGTTTTTGTTTTATATTTGAAAAAGTTTTATATTTTTAAGATGTTTCTTGTTGTTCCTATTATTAATATTATAATATACATAATTATTTTTTTGTACCTTTTGAAGAATAATGCTTTTATTTCGTTTACCATAACTGTTTTTTTTATCATCTTTTTTGTTATTTTAATAAGAGAAATACGTTTTCGTTTATTTAACTTTTGTTTTTATATCTGTTATGTCCAGAAATTATTGTTTATTTTACCGATGGTAATAAATTTATTTGATTTTAATAAACGCTTTTTAATTAAACATCCTTGTCTAAAAGGCTACTACAAAATACACAATCCATAAGTAAACCGTCCTCGTCTAAAAGGCCAGTTGACGCAAGCGCGGTAAAAAACTCTTATCAAACTTGTTACCGTTTTGCAGTACAGCGTTGACGCGTCTTGCTTTTGTTAGTTTGTCTATGTTCTAAATTCATTCTAAATATATACGGTCAGTTTTTATATGTGCCACATCCTGGACGAATGTAATGCAGTGTTAAGTCAGTTTAATATAGATATTTTCCATACAAATGTAAAAGAAATAAATAAGATCCTAAATCATATCTCCTTCACCACAGTGAAGTGATATACCTGCACATTTTTGTTTTTTTACTTTGTATATTTTAGTTTCAAATCAACCAATTTTTTTTACTTATTGCATTCATTGTATGTACAGTAGTTTTAGTTTTGTTAAGTTAATTTATTTAGATTTAAGTCCCTTACTTGTAACAACTATTCTTTTGGTGTTTGTAAGGAGTAGTTTAAAATAAATAAATTATTGATGTTATCTGTAGATGCACGATGGTTCTTCGGACGACTTCGGATGGTCAGACATGCAGTGGTCGAGTACAGAAAGCGACTACTCCCGGTATAGACTGCAACCCCCAGAGTTTCAGAGTAAACAATTAAGAAGGCTATTAAAAGTAAGTTTATTTTTTTTTTAGGCAATTAATCTTTGTTGTATAGTTGTCATCAGTTGCAAATTCTGGTAATTAATGAAATATGCCTAAAAAGAGCTTACACCATAAGAAATAATCGTCTTATTTTGGCATGGCTGCCATTTATTATATCCAAGAGACCTTTAAAATTATTTTAAATTTTGTTATTTCTAGGTTCATTCTGAAGAAACTGAACAATCCATGCGCCCTTGTGTCGCGAAGAGTTACAGCTTTGGAGGTTATGGAGGCAACGTTTCTATACTGACAAGAGGCGATAGTGTCATGTCCACTCACAGTGCACCCGGTCCTAGACTTTTGACCAAGCAAGGTATTTTAAAACAAGAAATTAATTAAGCACAAGCATTTCTTAAAAATCAACACATTTTTCTGCACTTTATTTCTTTAAATGTCAAATTTCCCAAGTAGCATTTGGACGTTATCTAACGTCGGGTATACGTCGCGTTCAATAAACCCAACGTACCCAACGTCGGTTCGACCACCTGACGACCCTTATTTGCACCTAAATGGGGAATACAGATTCGGGTCGCCTCGACATCGGTATCTGACCTAATAGGGAATGTAATTCTACCAATTACCAACGTCATATTACGTTGGATTTTAGTTACTTAAAATTCGTCGCTAAACACTTACCTTACGTTTGGTTTCATATTGGCTACCAAGAATACATAAAAACCTAACCAAACTACCTAATTACAAATGGATTCATAATCACTCCTCGAATATAACTATAAGTGCCTATCTAATTTCATATTATAATAATTCTGAATCATTAATCCAGACATCAGTTTTGTCAACGGAAGTCACTTTCTTGATATATCTGACTAAAATACTCCGGAAAACAACGAGCGCCTTCAAAATTAGGTAGATTTATGAAATAAAAATATCTATAAAAAAGTAACTCGCAAAATATTTTTTTTTAATTTTCTAGCTGGTTTAATCATAAAACTGTACTGTGGTTCCCCCCAAACTGAACCTTATCAATATTATTCTACTAGAAATCGAAATGTGAATATAAATTTTAAAAACAAAAAACGATTTTAAAATGGCTGACAATCGGATATGTGTTAAGAATGGCGGATTTCTGTGTCCGACTTAATATGAACTACCAATATACCAATTCCGACCGGGTCTCCAACATTAGTCGTCTCACACGACCGAAGTCATCAAACCGGACGACCGGCAATCATATTATGACTTATATAATTCCAACGTACGCCACGTAACCTCACTTTGCGTATCAGTGATTAGTGGAACTATATTTTAGTTTTTGTTTTCTCCTTAAAAAAATGGGCAGCCACTTTTTTAAGCCTAACCTCACATGTCGGAGGAGGATGGGGTCTGCTAGTTTCCTAAGCTAAAAAATGAAATTAAGATGCACCAGTGTAATGCAGCATCTCTTCCGGATAAAAAGCATTTACGGGTGGAGGCAAGACATCACTACTACTATTATTATTTTGCAAAAGCCTCGACCTCTTTCTGTAAATGTAGATGAATGTCTAAATGCCTTTTTAGTGTTTTTTAGGCATAATAAAAAAATTAAGTTTGTTTACAAAAACTTTTTATTAGGTTATGTTCATGATGTTCATTAGGTCGCAAATGCTACTTAATGGGTTGTATTTACTGACGTAAATAGAGATACGTAAATTAGGTTATAAATATGAACATAAAATACAACAAAATATAATTGGACGTTACTTTAGGGATTATCAGTGAGACGTATCCTATTCGGACAACGGGTAGACGTCGGGCTAGTTCCAGCATATGTAATGTGCAAGCCAACGTGGGAACGACGTTGGGAAATTAATAAAAATGGTACGTTGTTATTTTGTACGTCGACAGATCGTTGGATTTACCGACTCGGATCCAACGACGTCGCTTTTAATAGGAAAGCGACGTCACCGGTCGTATCACCAGCACCCGACCTAAATTTGCACAAAGTCCGACGTCGCTTCAGGTCAGATTTAGTTCGAAGTCAGATAGATGCTACTTGGGTTGTACCCGAGATATTTTTTTATGCCAACGCCAATCAAAAATTTTACCTAAAGCAATAAATAATAAAAAAAATCCTTTTTCTGTAACACACATCCTCAACAACCCTGTTTACATTATTTATATAAACTTTCTGGATAGATTCAGGAGCCAGTTCGGTCTCTTGGAGGTTAAGTCCGTCAAGTTCAGGCTACAAGTCGCAGTCTCAACTGTCCGAGTCGGTGACGCCCAGCCCTACCTCAACGCCCCATCCTACAGGCCTTGGTGACTCTGGAGACGCCCACGATCATCAGAGGGGGTGCGCTAGAGGCAGTAACGCCGTCGTGTGGGCTGTTACCGACATGTGTAACGTACCCAAAGGCAGTATTATCATTAATCCAGAGGTAAGTGTGTTGAGATTAGTGTTATAAGAGACCCCAGAGATGCTCAGTTTTCCAGGGCGAACTGTGCAGAGTTCTTATCTTGTGCAGAGACTTTCTGTTCTTTTCTATAGGAACTTGGAATGTCTAGCATTGATAATATATTAAATTTCTTTAAAAAGATTGGCTTCTATGACAAAATATACTCTCTTCTTTATGTGAAGTTGTTAATATAAGATATCCATAGACACTGTTTCTCCGGTTCTAGTCTTGCTTTCCCAAATAAAAAGTGCCCCTTGTTATACAAGCAGGTGACATATTTTATGCTCTGCTGTTTCAGGATTTTTATTGCAGAGTCTACACGAAATCCTTCTTTGATACAGGTTGAGCTTATTCAGATAGCACTTGACAGTCATATATCATGTCAAGAGACCTGTTGTAACCCGCACATTATTCCTTGTTCCTCTAGTAGTAGTTTAATAAGTACAGATGATTGTTTGCTACAACTTAGTTTACACTGATTTTGTTTAGACTGGCAAGCCGTTCAAGAATGGGGATGGCTCTATTTACCACTACGATCCTAGCAATCCCCCTCCTGGATTTTTAACCGAGCCAAGTCCAAGATTGTCCGAAAAGCCACACCGTCCGATGACACCTGACAGGGAGAAAACGCCTACGTCATCACCAAAGCATGAGGTTAGTAGACACGATATATTTAAAGCATAATAAACGGGATCGCACACTGAAACAACAAGCATTAGGCAATAAATAATACGCAATCAGCCAATACCGGATATAATCTGTCCAAGACGAGGATCCATGACAGTGGATCATTTCTAAATTGTTGAACAAACGCTCATTGACAATATACCATACGGTCAAAAAAAACGGCATCAGAGACAGCTAAGGAATGACAGTCCATAATTTTGGTGAGGCCAAGCCCTATGAAAATTATTTTTAAATATTGTAGTTTAAAATTCGAGTAAAATATTTTTTTGGAAATAGATTTCTATGTTGACATGTCTAATTTCACTTCACATTCTAACTGGCATGTATTATGTCAGTTTTTAGTAAATGGCGTCTCGCCAAAATTATCATCGATTGTCATTGACGCCGTTTTTTCGATCATACGATACTAAAGATGTTGTCTCGCAAGTCTGAAAGTAATATAAATGTTGTTTTACATGTGTCATACATTAAATTAAACAAGGGTTCTTTTCTTCAGAAACGACCGTCTAGGAAATCTTCACCTGTCAAATTGAAATCTAGCTTCACCAACACAGCAACTAGTCCTAGCTTGCCATTTTCGCCACCTTTATCTTCATCTTCATCTGTCGGAGTTCCTACGGGAAGGAGTTATCCTTTCATGCAGGTAATGGATCTAAAAATATAATTTAATGTTTTTATACAGGGTGAGTTTTTAATAAGTGCAAATATTTTTAGTGGTAGGTTAGGGGTAGTATATTTCGACCCCAGAAACACGTCTATGAGGTTTTTTCGCGAAAAAAAAAATTTGAAAAAATTTTTGGACTTCTTTTTAATAATATAACATGACAACATAGGTAGGTAGATTAAATTAAACAAGAAAGAAAACCCAGAAAAGATCCAGCGGTCCTGAAAAGTTATTACAGTTGGGGGTTGGAACCTTTGGTGTTACACAGCAAAATAAAACACTAAATCACCACAATACACCAAAACACTTTTACTTTTACACTGGACGCGCATTTCGCTAACCATGTTAGCATCATCAGCAGATGATTAAAACTTAGTTTTTGGTTAACAATGATTAAACAAGTTAACATGGTTAGCGAAACGCGCGTCCAGTGTAAAAGTAAAAGTGTTTTGGTGTATTGTGGTGATTTAGTGTTTTATTTTCCTCAAAATTTAAGCGAAAAATAATTTTTTAGAAATTTTCAAAGTACGAGGCATGTTTTTTAAGTAAGTACCGTTTTGGAATTAAAAAAAAACGTGCAAAGATATCGCAATAATTTTATTTTTACATGAAAGCCTGTACCTTAATCTACTTTTCTACATAATTTCCGTGAATATTGAGGCACTTGTCATAACGTGGCACCAGTTTTTCAATACCCTCCTCATAAAATTCTGCCGCCTGACTGGTTAACCACTGTATCACAACTGTTTTGACTTCGTTATCGTCTTGAAGACGCTGACCGCCCAGGTGTTTCTTCAAGTGCAGGAATAAATGGTAGTCACTGGGCGCCAGATCAGGGCTGTATGGAGGATGATCTAGAGTTTCCCATTTAAAAGATTTGATGAGATCTTTGGTCCGATTAGCCACATGTGGACGGGCATTGTCATGCAGCAAAACAATACCCTTACTCAACTTGCCACGTCTTTTGTTTTGGATTGCACGGCGCAGATTGTTCAATGTCTCACAATAAGATGCTGCATTGATTGTCTCATTACGAGGCAGAAACTCCACTAGCAATACTCCTTTTCTGTCCCAAAAAACTGTGCACATGATTTTCCGGGCAGAAATTGTTTGCTTAAACTTCACTGTTTTGGGTGATGATGAATGTCGCCATTCCATGGACTGTTGTTTCGATTCTGGTGTGACGTAGGCCACCCATGTTTCGTCACCAGTAACAATTTTGTCTAAAAAATCTTCACCTTCATTGTGGTACTGCTCAAGGAAAGTCAATGCACTGCCTAAACGTTGGGTTTTGTGCAAATCCGTCAACATTTTCGGAACCCAACGTGAACACAATTTCCGGTAATTCAAGTTCTCGGTCACAATGCGAGAACATTGAGGAAAGTAGTCGCACAATGATGAAATTGTAAAGCGTCTGTTTTCTTTCACCTTTTCGTCCACTTTCTGCATCAAATCTTCATTATCGACCTCATGCACATTTGTGCGGCCATCTTTAAATGCTCTCACCCATTTCCTTACCATTCCATCACTTATAATGTTTTGTCCGTAAACTTCACAGATCTCACGATGAATATCGATCGGTTTTACGCCTTTAGCACTAAGAAATCGTATGACAGCCCGTACTTCACAATCGGCGGGGCTCACGATTTTCGGAGGCATCTTAAACACTCAATAAACAACGTATTCAATGAAGAATCAGACTGTACTGGCGTCTGTGCATAGACAAGAGATGTAGGTAACCAGCGCGCATGCGCGGAACGCCGACCGTAGCGCTGCGGCGGCGGAATCGCAAAACGGTACTTACTTAAAAAACATGCCTCGTAAAATATATCGATTATTTTCGAGTTATTTGAAAAAAAAACGATGAAAGTCCATTCTTTGCTGATTTGATTTTAATACATAATATTTTTCGTCTTAAAAAGCTACACATTTTGATATGGAATTTCCCTAAATAAATGGGAATATCGATAACGGTCACAGAGAAACGGGCATTTAAAAATGGGAAAAACAATAAAAGTTCATGCGTAATTTGAATTAAAAAACGCTCTCCTAAAAATTTATCATTTTTGGACACATCGTTTTTCCCGTGTGCTCTTCATTTATTATTACTTATTAAGGCGTTATATCGTAGGCTAAGAATAAGTTTGAACCAATATATTTATCTTTTTGAATATCAAAGAGATCGTCTAATTAATTTTATTTATATCAATCCTTTACAAAGAAAATGATTCTTTTGCAGGTAGTGAACTCTTGCGAAAGTTTGCCGCAACAAACTCACTTTTCCAGCTTTTCAAATCCTCCAACCGATGGCAATGCTCCCATTTACCAACAACCTTACATTGTTTACACAACTCCATATGGTATACCCGTACCTCAGCAATACGACAATAGAATCGTAAGTTGGAATAATCTATAACCAAAGATTGTATAGCCTGTAAAACTATCATGCAACAAAATGTCAACTACGTTCCGAACGTCATTTTAGTTTTGTGTCAAATGATTATTATTAAGTAGGCCCTATATTCCACTATATTCACGCACGAACTGTATAACTTGTAAAATATGGTTTTGCAGGAACAACCTAGCATGCCGGAATTAAACACCACGACATATTTTATTCCTGAAGGAGGAGGCGCTCCTGCTGCTCAAACTATCGCTTATCAATCACCTACTTCTGGCCCTTACTGGAACCAGCAACCCATCAGTTTCTATCCCAACAGTCCTCAGCCTGCCAGTCAAACACCGCCGCAGAGGTTTTCGGTGCATATGCAACCCCCAGGACCATCAGGTAACAATACAAAATTCGTAGAAGACATATTTAACCATTTTTTTAAAAAACTGGTTTGATATATTCAGATGGTAACATATAATTATTTTTGTCCCTTTAGCTTTTATGCCGCCTAGTTATTCTACGGCAGTCAATTATGTGAATCAGCCGCCTGGACAGCAAACGCAAAATCCCGAAGTGGTCCCGGTGTTCCCCAATCAGCCTGTTCAAGTGGTCTACCCGCCTAGTCAGCCCAACAGCTCTGTGATATATCAGAATCCACCGTCGTTGATTTACTCGCAAAATACTCCTCTATATCAAACTGCATGTAAGTACATTATGATATACTTTATAATAATAATAGCGTGCCTTATACAGGGTGTCCCAGGCTGAGCTTGCATTAGAAGTTTCTAGAGGACTGAAATTTTTAGGTCGGAGATTTTTAACAAATCATTGTTTTACAACAAGAAGTTGGCAGCAACTTTGTTATTTTAAATGAGTACCCCCATTTTTTATTACCTACTTAAATTCTCTGTAAATTTTTATGTGAATTTTGATATCAAACAATCTATACCTGACTTGACTGTTTTTGAGAAAAAAAATATTTAAAATTTTTAAAGGAAAAAAAAATTATACAAGGTTGTTCACCACATACGACACGGAATATTGTAGCTAAACGGTTAGATTTTTACAAATTGTAAGTTTTGGGTTCGTTGAAGGACTATTAGAGCTATAATTTAAAAATATTTTTACAAGATACAGAGTGTCCCAAATAAATAAAAAATATCAAAGTTGTATTTTTTTAAATGGAACACCCTGTATATTATTACATTTTTAGTTTCTACAATTAAAATAAAGGTAAATTTGATTAAGGTTTATTACACTTAAACCTTACCGTTTTGAAATATTTTCAATTTTGTGAAATCGCAGTATAAATTTTAAGGCTTCATTTCTCCGAGGGTATCAAAGTTTTTAATACTAAATATTTACTGAAGTTTATTTATTGATCAGTTATTGTGTTGCAATAATATAAATTTTACTACCTTATACAGAGTGTCTAAATATTTATTTTAAATAATTATTAGCTTTAAACGGCAATAACTTGTTTAATTTAAATGGAACACCCTGTATATTTTATGAGAATCAGATGCACAATTTAATTGTCTATCAAATTGTATTAAACCATTTATTACCTATCTCTTCAAGTTTCCGTAAAAAAATCATTTTCTTGTAATTTAGAACTCATTTATCAATATACCCATGGAATACTGACATTTTAGATTATTTTTAAAGATATACCAAATTTCTAAAGAGTACAGATACTAATATTGTCGATATAGTTCGTTTATTTCATTAAAAAATAAAAAAAAAACTGTTCAAATATTTGTTAAAGAGGACCAATTAATATGATTTCAGTATTCAAACTACAGTAATTGACTGTTTGCGTTGATTAATAATAATTGCTCCAAATACTAAAAAACTGAATCATGTATGTGTATTAGACAGTGTGGTAAAAAACTAACACCTTAAAAATGATATTTCATTTTTTGACAAATGCTTATTTATAACAACAGAGACGTTCATTTTCATAACTTATTATTATATTCATTTCTGATTCAAATCCGCATTTATTTAGAATAATTTATTAACGAACACAATTAAGTATGTAATTAATTAGTATTTGGGCGGAAATACTGGTGGTATATTTAATTAATGGTATACTCTTTTATAAAGTAGTTTTCTTTTTGCATGCAAATGGGCTAGTAATATTATCGTTTTAATAAAAACGATAATATTACTAGCTTGTTCACATTGTTGTTTAAAAAACAATCTGAAATGTCAACATTCCATGGGTATATTGATAAATGAGGTCTAAATTATAAGAAAATGCATTTTCTACGAAAACTTGAAGGGATAGGTAAAAGTGGTATAATACAATTTGATAGACAATTAAATTGTGCATCTGATTCTTATAAAATATACAGGGTGTTTCATTTAGATTAAACAAGTTATTGCCGTTTAAAGCTAGTAATTATTTAAAATAAAGTTTTAAACACTCTGTATAAGGTAGTATAATTTTTATTATTGCAACACAATATCTGATCAATAAATAAACTTCAATAAATTTAGTATTAAAAACTTTGATAACCTCGAGAAATGAAGCCTTAAAATTTATATTGCAATTCTCACAAAATTGAAAATATTTCAAAAACGGTAAGGTTTAAGTGTAATAAACCTTAATCAAATTTGCCTTTATTTTAATCGTAGAAACTAAAACTGCAATAATATACAGGGTGTTCCATTTAAAAAAATACAACTTTGATATTTTTTATTTATTTGGGGCACTCTGTATCTTGTAAAAATATTTTTAAATTGTAGCTCTAATAGTCCTTCAACGAACCCAAAACTTACAATTTGTAAAAATCAAAAGGTGGGTTCATACAGCCAAATAAAATAAAATAAGAATAAAATAAAATAAGAAATAAGGAATTCTTATTTGTGTGCGTTCATACAGGCAAATAAAATAAAATAAGAAATATATATTTGCTCATGCGCAGTACGATGAGGCTGGATAAAAGTTAACTTTTACGATTGTTTATAGTAATTTTACTATTTATAGTATATTTATTTATTCGTTGCCTACTATATTATACATTTTACTTATGTGAAATTAAAAAATAAATTAAATCCAAACTGAAAATATTTGTAGGTTAGAATTAAGCGTGCGCAAAGCCGTTTTCACATAAAATAAAACAAGAAGTTAAAAGATAAAGACTTTTTATTTTATTTGTTATTTTATTTGGCTGTATGAACGCATGTACGGTATCCCATATAACCAACTTTCTTATTTTATTTTATTTTATTCTTATTTTATTTTATTTGGCTGTATGAACCCACCATAATTGTTTAGCTACAATACTCCGTGTCGTATGTGGTGAACAACCCTGTATAGCCTAAACGTCAAATTTAGTGATTACCACAGCCATTGTGACACAAAAGAAGATATGTGGCTATCGATTTCAAGAATCAAATTGTTTGAATGTCATATAATATTGGCCGTAGCTGCCATCGAATTGAGTTATTAAAAAATTATCATAAGTCATTTTTTTTAATAGAAACCCACTTTTTTTATTTCACTAGTGAAAAAGCTTTTCAATTCGTATTTCAATACTTTTTGATTGTACAATTGCTAGTTACAATTATGGTATTCCTATACCTTTCCAGCGTATCCGGTACAAAACATGCCTATTTATCCTCAAAGTACTCCTACGCCCAGTAGTTGCAGCGCCTCCATACCCAGTACGCCTTTTGCGGGGGAACCCCGAAATTCCGACGGATTTGTACACTTGACACAAGGCGTCCAACACATGAATTTGGGCATGCCACCACCACCGAACAATCGAAACTTCGTCCCTTTAAATCTGAAATGTAAGTTTTTCTGTTGTAAGTAACAATAAAAGTTGGCATGCACGTCATCAAAGAGTTTGTAATGATTAGGGTGTAAAAATGAGACTTTTTCAAAACTTAATGTTTTTCTTACATTCAACCAGTTAAATGCAACAGTATTTCTTCTGTTCTGAAACTATTCAAAAGTACTACCCCTAAAAAATTCGGTATGCAGAAAAAAGTGTCTCATATTATTTAACCCATAAAAAGTCTAAAAATGAGACATGCTTAGGCTCGGTGTTTTCAGTTATAGATAAATAGCTTTTATCTAACAAATAACCATCTAACAGATAAACAATCTACAGCCTGCTATCTATAGGATATAACATTTGGGTATTTTCATACAAAATAATCCAAAAGATAACAATTTGGAGGACGGGCCGCCTACGGACCGTTAGACACTCCGTAGAGAAAGTGTTGCCAATATAAGATATCTGAAATTGAGATGGTTATATATGAAAAGTCTATGCAACAGACAGAGACAAAAACCGGTAATTTCAAATCGTTAGATTAAAAAGTGAGGTTATTATTCAGTTGTCAAAAGATCGTCAAAATGAAAATAAAAACAATACAATTAAACTAAAATATATTTTGTGTTCAACTCTGACCAGTTCTATTATGGTATAGGTTAATTAATTATACCTTTATGGAAAAAAGGGAATCAGTTTCAACAGTAGTGAAATAGATCTGTTGATGGAATGCGATTTATAAGAAATTAAAACAAGAAAAAAAGTATGTGTAAGTACTTAATTTATAATTTAATTATATGATATTACTGTTATATTTATTATATTAACATTTTAGTACAATAAATTGATAATAGAAAATATGGAAGAAACCGGTGAAGTGCAAGCAGATCGAGATTTATAGATAAATCCTAAAACCACAATCTGGTAAAAAAATAGCATAAAGCATATCGCGCACTTATGCGAAGCGCGGCGCGGCGCAGCGCGGCGAATTTTTGATGGGTCCGCTAACTTATGCACGGTTTTGCGTACGCGGTTGGTATTTAAAGTTGTTTTGAGCTGACCGTTTTAATTTTAGTGTTATCTCTATGACGGTTTGATAAAGGTGTGTTAAATTTCATTATGTGCTCAAGTTCTAGCAGCAGTTCAGAGGAGATTTTCTTACTTTATGTACAATAGCTGAGGAAGAAGAAATGCGTGAGAACAAAAAAGAAAATCTTGGATTCATAATATAAATATAAAAGAAATACGTACGGAGAATTCCATCACCTTCACTCAGATCTTCTGGAAGACGAAAGAAAATTTTCAAGTATTATAGAATGACCCACGAAAATTTAGTGAACTTCTTTCTTTGTTAAGACCAAGTATAGAGCGTCAAAATTCTAGATTTCGCTGCTCAATTGACGTTATCGAAAGACTTTCAGTTTGTCTCAGGCAAGTTTTTAATATTGTCTAAATAAAATTAATAGAGAATAATTTATATTATTTTATGTAATGCATGCTTTTTAAATGGATAGATTTTTCATTATTCTAAATTAAGTAGTCTGTACATTGGTAGAAAATACTTTATTTTATATGTGATGTACAAATAGCAATACATAAATAAAATTACTTTTGTCCGGGTTCATCGGGCGAAAAGCTGTTATAACTTCGAGGTGGTTCATTGAGAGAAAAGCTGTTATAATTTTGAGGTGAATATTGCAAATTCTCCTCAGAATGGGCTGGAGTTGTATGCATAGGAAGACACTCGAGTGACTGCTGATGCTGTCGTGTTGGAATGCCATACGTGCCTGATGAATAATTTAAATTATACTGAGATGACTGCTGCTGAGAAACATGTGGTTTATATGGTGGCAGTGTATGTATATTTGTACTTTGGGAAGACAGAGTCTGTTGATATGCTGAAGGAGGGGATTCATCGACTTGAGTATATGTTGAGGTGGTAGGCGAGGTGATATTTTTAATTCTGCTTCATGAATTATCTCTGATATTTTAGATTTAACCTGAATCTGCAATATAGGTGGAAAAGTCCTGACAGATTCCTCAACTGATTGAAAATATTTTGTTAAGTGGTCCTTGGGAGTATGAATTTTTGATTTTTATAATTGACATATTCCTGAAGTGCTACTGAAGTTGGTGTCTCTTTACAGAACTATACTTTCTTTTTTACTGCTTTGTGAAATAGAAGATAAAGGGCTGGGTGCGGATGATGGTGACGCCGGTGAAGGAACCGATACAACTGTATCAACTATACCATCTGATTCAGGTTCTGTGTTGATTATGTCTTGTGTTGAATAATTTGATTGTTGGGGCCTTTCTGCTAAAAATGGTTTCATAAAACTCATTTGCTGTTCTAGTCGCCAAGGCTTTGATTTTGTAGCGGCTTGTCCACTTTTGTTTGTCTGGACTTCTGTGCTTTTCTGTAGCACTCCCTCAAATTGCGCCATCTTTTTTCGGCATTCTTCGGCTGAAAAGATAATTTACCATAAGGTAACATTATTATTCACCTTATACGAGTATTTAGACAAAAATGTAGAAGATAATTTTAAGTAACGAGTAAATAACTTTATGTTTTTTACAGATTTTTGGCAACTGGAGACACCTTTGGAACAATAGCAATGAGCTATCGACTTGGTGAAACTACTGTTAGAGAGATAGTTTATCAAGTGTGTGAAGAAATATGGCGCGTACTATCCCCCAAATTTTGCCAGTACCCAACAAAGAAAAATGGAAAAATGTAGCAGAAGAGTTCCAACGGAAATGGAATTTTCCAAATTGCGTGGGTGCCCTTGACGGAAAACACGTAATTACAGATAAACCTCCAAATAGCGGTTCACGTTATTTTAACTACAAAAAATTTTAGTATTATACTTCTGGCCTTGGTCGATGCTAATTATAGGTTTTTGGCAATTGATGTTGGATCTTATGGACGTAATAGTGATGGTGGAGTATTTTCTTCTTCAGAATTTGGAAGGAAATTTTTTTAAAGATGAGCTAGATTTTCCTGGAAAAAGAAATCTACCAGGAACAAATATATTAATGCCTCATGTAATTGTCGCAGATGAAGCTTTTCCCTCCATGAACATTTAATGCGTCCATTTCCTGGCTCACAAACTTCAGGACAAGAAGACAAAAAATATTCAATTATAGACTAAGTAGAGCAAGAAGGGTTTCCGAAAACGCGTTTGGCATTTTAGTAAAAAAGTTTCGTTTGTACCAAAGAAAGCTTCAAATTTCACCTGAACATTTGGATAAAGTGGTTCTTGCAACATGTTGTCTTCACAATTTTTGAGAGATTGTGATGTAAGTGGTGGGATCTCAGAAGAAGAACAAGAAGATGATAGAACAATACCTCAAGGTCTAATAGATATCCCCGGAATTGGTGAAATCCATCTCTTTATGCAGTAGATGTCAGGGAAAAATTTAAGAATTACTTTGTTTCTGAGACTGGTTCATTACCTTGGCAAGTCGAAATGGTTAGAAGAGGCAGAAAAACTAGATATATAATAAGATTATAACGATGACTAATTATACAGGGTTGTTTGAGTTTTAAATAAGTGCAATTTATTTTAGGGTAGTGTATTTCAACCCCTGTTTTCAAAGAGAATTTTGGAAATATTTTTAATTTTCATATAAATCATAATATAACTTGATAATATGGCAGCATAAGTTGTAGATTAAATTTCGTTGGAATTTGACTTTCGAAAAATCGGTTTGCCAAAAATAAGCTTTTTACGTCAAGCAGTTTAAGCAGAATCGTGGTTAAGAAATTACCCAACTTTTGGAACACCCTGTATGATTTTTAAAAAAATTCATAATATGTAAAAAAAAACAAATAAATTATGCTTGTCCAAGCGTTTTCCCGAAAGACTAACCGTTTTTAAATAACAAATATTGTAATATTTGAGGGGCGTTTTCACACTCTTGGAATTTGAGATTCGAGAAACCCCTCCTTATCGAACCTCTACACCCCACAGTCAATCCGTTTGCTTAAAAATCAGCTTTAAACGTCAAGCAGTTTAAGCAGAATCGTGATTACTCTATGGTCATATTTTATGAAACACCCTGTATACATTTATAAAAATCTTAAAATATGTAAAACAACAAAATAAAATATACGTGTGTGTAAGCTTTTTCGGAAACTTGACCGTTTTTAAATAAAAATATTGTAATATTTGAGGGGTGGTTTCACCCTCTTGGAACTGGCATTTCGAAAATCCCTTCTTATCGAACCTCTACACCCTAGAATCAACCTGTATGCCAAAATTGAGCTTCTTACGTTGAGTGGTTTGAGCAGGATCGTGATTAATCAGTATGTCAGTCACTTAAGGATTTTATATATTAGTATAGATAGATAACTAATAGTTTTAGGTATATAAAACTATATACAAAATTATAGAATTTTACTCAGAATCTCTGCGTAAAATATGTGCTCTCTACATTTAAAAAGAAATATTAAATTGGGCATCTCTTAAACTTCTAAAATTTGTTCTTTTTGTAGTCTTTTGTTGTAATTGTTAAAATAAATGAGATAATGAACAAAGAACTTTAGTCTATCCTTCACTCACCCTGTACAACAAATTCGTACTACGTTTATGTACCGCTACCCACTCCATAAACTTGGGAAATAATTAAAATTTCATACCTTTTATTCCGCATTTTCTTCAATTTCTTCCCAAATATTGTCCCTTCTCAATTGATTATGATAATTGGGATCTCAATATCATATATATCTTTATAACTTTGTATAATTAAAATGAACGTTTCATCATCCATGATAAAACAATAATTAAATTACAAGTACTAAACAAACTCAAACGAAACAAAACGGCTCTTGATTAAACGTAACCTAAATGCCAATTAGTAATACATTAATCGTAGAATCCTTCATCGAAGACACCCGAAATAGATTTCGAAAATGACCGAAAACAGAGATAGTTTCCGCAGACCACCGCGCACTAGGGCACGCGAAGCGCGCCGAAGAAGAATTTCCTCGCTTTGGATTCCAGGTCTGCA